CCAAGGATATCACCATTGGCGTAAGTTTCTTCTCGGGCGCAACACTTACAATACGCTTTCCCCACCATGTTCCTACAAAAATGTATCAAGTAATACAGACGCTAATTACCAAACACAGCCTGTCGCAGTCATGTCCCAGGTGACTGGCAATGTCGTCCTCGCCGTCGCAGAAAAGGCCCCCGGTATCCCAGGCCACGTCGTGGCCTCGGCACTGGCTCTCATCACTGGCTGCATCATCCTGTTCCTCGGTCTTGCCCGCCTGGGATGGATTGTCGAGTTCATTTCCCTGCCCGCTATTTGCGCCTTCATGACTGGCTCTGCCATCAACATCTTGGCTGGTCAGGTCCCCAAGCTCATGGGTATCCCCAACATCAACACCCGAGGACGCGGTACTCACCTGGTCATCATTGATACCTTGAAGGGCCTGCCCAACACCGGTATCGATGCTGCCCTGGGCCTGACCTCCCTCTTCCTGCTCTATGCCCTCCGCGCGTTCTGCTCGTTCATGGCCAAGAAGCAGCCTCACCGTGCCAAGATGTGGTTCATCATCTCCACTCTTCGCACTGCCTTCACCATCCTCCTATACACCGGAATTGCTGCTGGCATTGTCATCAAGAAGAAGAACAACAAATACCTGGATCTCGTCGGCACCGTCCCCAGTGGCTTCCAGCATGCGGGTGCCCCTGAGATCAACACCACCATCATCAACGCCTTCGTCAACGAGCTTCCTGCTGCCGTCATCGTCATGCTTATCGAGCACATTTCCATCTCCAAGTCTTTCGGTCGCATCAACAACTACGTTATTGACCCATCGCAGGAGCTCGTCGCCATTGGAGTCACCAACATCCTGGCTCCTTTCCTGGGTGCCTACCCTGCCACTGGATCTTTCTCCCGTACTGCCATCAAGTCCAAGGCTGGTGTCCGCACACCATTTGCTGGTGTCATCACCGCTGTTGTGGTCTTGCTCGCACTCTATGCCCTGACAGCCCTCTTCTTCTACATTCCCAACTCTGCTCTCGCCGCCGTCATTATCCATGCCGTCGGTGATGTCATCACTCCTCCCCAGACTGTCTTCCAGTTTTGGCGTGTTGCTCCTCACGAGGTCGTCATCTTCCTTGCTGGTGTCCTCGTCACCGTCTTCACCAACATCGAGAACGGTGTCTACGTCACCATCTGCACTTCGTTTGTTGTCCTCATTTGGCGCCTGTTCCTGAGCGAGGGACGGTTCCTGGGCCGCACTCGCGTCCGCACTGTTCGTCAGACCAACAGCAGCGCTCAGGCCTCTAGCTCCGACGGAGAGGGCAAGACCAAGGAGGCTGTCACCGAGGAGGAGAAGGACTTCTCCCTCCGCCCGGGCTTCCTGCCTGTCGAGCATGAGGACGGTTCCAACTCAGAGGTCGTGGTCGACAACCCTTACCCCGGTGTTTTCGTCTACCGCTTCGCTGAAGGTTTCAACTACCCCAACGCCTCGCGCTACCTCAACCACCTCACCACAGTCATCTTCAAGACCACCCGCAGGACCGATCCTTCTCTTCTCGGAAAGGTTGGCGACCGCCCATGGAACGCTGCCGGCAAGAGGGGCCAGCTCGAAGACAACAGCCACCTTCCCACGCTCAAGGCCATCGTTCTTGACTTCTCTACTGTGAACAACATCGACGCCACCTCCGTCCAGGCCCTCCTCGACACCCGCAGCCAGCTCGACCGCTACGCCGCACCCGACAAGATCGACTGGCACTTTGCCAACATCACCTCCCGATGGACCAAGCGCGGCCTGGTCGCCGCCGGCTTCGGTATCCGCAACGGTCCCCCCGGCCGCACCATCTTCAGTATCGCCGAGCTTGGCGGAGCCGACAGCGCCGCCGCCGCCGCCGAGGCAGAGCGACTCAAGGCCGCCGAGCAGACAAAGGAGAAGCACGCCGACGACATCGAGAGCATCGGCGGCGGATCCAGACGGTCGAGCAACAAGCAGGTGGCGCTCCAGGGACTCAACCGTCCCCTGTTCCACTTTGACCTCCACGAGGCTGTCGAGGCGGCTATTGCCAACGCCCAGCTGAAGACCCCTTGATTTGGCGAATGTGATTGAGAGAGTAACTGGTAATAATTATATATACCCTGATCTTTGCTTTTGGTTCTGCTTCTCCCCTTGGTTGGAGAGTTTAATTTCGGGTTGGGTTGGTTCGGGTTGGTAGAGGGGATGGGAACTATAACGAATCATATGTCATCATCTTTTCAGAACATTTTGAGATGTTAGCTTCTGTGCATTACTTGCATACATTGCAATTGCTTTGACGTGTTTTTTTTTTAGAATACAATACCCACAGCTACTGAGCTACCCCCCCATATTGGTTCAGGTCTCGCGTGAATATGTGGTTGAACGCCGGAAACGGGTTTGAAGAAGGCAAGTGGGTGACATAGAATAGAGACATCAAACACTAAGCTGCTTATTTCCAAGTCTGCGATTAGTATTATTAGATTATTGGGTGCTAATAATAGATACTTGAGAGACAATATAGCATATATTATCCATTTTATACCAATGAGTTTCTCTGCTTATCGTAGAAAGTAGTCTGTCTACAGCCACTCATCCATTGGATGTCTCATTTCTCCTGTCACCGACTTGGAAGGGCAGAATTTTGGCCGTGGACAAGGGAAAAGCTTGGCAGATCTTTTTCTAAGCCGATGGCGACGACGGCCAATAACAGTGCAGGGCGGCGTGGCTTCGATGCCCGATCGGGCAATTGGCGAAATCCCAACATCTCTTGGCAGCGAGATTGCGATGGATGTCGGCGGGTAGCGGGAGACTTGGGCGGTGATCTGATGGATTCGAGGCGAATTCTACGTTCTTGCCTTGAAATGGAATGAACGCTGGAAAAAAGCAGTCTGGGGAAGGATAGGCATTTACCTGACCAGCCAAAATGTTGACGGCAGAGCCAGTCATGAAGGCGCAAATGGCGGGCAGGGAAATGAGCTCGACAAGCCATCTCCTTCCAGTGCGTGTTTGTGGAAAATGTATAACATATCTCTCAACTCAAACACAGGTTTCAGGAGCCGTGCTACCGCGGTGGAAAACCTATCATCATTGCTGAGCCTCGATGAGCCACCGGCCGTGATGAGAATCTGTGTGAGATGGAGGGCCAATCGTCCAAAGGGAAACCAACTAAGAAACGTATGTAAAGCACTTTCAGTGTATCTTGCCGCATTTGATCAATGATGAGACGATTCAAGTAGGTTAAATGAGGCTCTTTTCACGCAAGGCAGGGAGCTCTTCTTATTAAACACAATTAAGAAAATAATTAATGATTATACGATACTCAGCTTAATGTTGTGTTTATTTCTAGGTTAATTATTTTGATATTGCCTTAAAATTCAACGCTGGAGGGTCTAGGTGTGACATGTTTTATGTCAGTCGCTTGCCAATGTAGGCGGCCGACTGGAAATAACGGACGAGAGAGCCACAACCCAATAATGAATAGATAACAACAAATAATGCTTAAAATATTCTTGTAATCTCATTTTTCTAGTGGTTTCGACTCTTTCTCCGAGCCTATAACCAGATTCTCGGATGGAGAATCAAGCGTGCCGCAGTCTTCCAGACCCAATATATCGCGGACAAGGACAAAAATGGGACCGCGCACAAATCCAACTCAACCATCAGGTCAACATAACATAGAACATATGCGAAGGATGATCGACGAGACACTTAGAACAGCTGTCGCAGGCCACGGAGTCCAGCCCGCCGACTCTGACATGCCGCTCGTGGAAGCACTGCGACAGGGAATAACTAATGCGAAGATCGAGAACGACAGACTTCATAACATAAACCAAGCCCAGCATGAGAACTACGCGGCATCTTACGGGCCACTCAAAACGGAAAAGGATAAGTTGACCTTGGCAATCGCGAAACAGTTCAAGGGGGTCTAAGAACTGAAGGAGATGGCCACTAGACAAGCCGAAACTATCGGCAATCCTCCGGGGGAAGCCCTGGCCCCCAACACCAGAGCCATTGTTCACTCCAATGGCGACAAGCTCCTGCGATGGGTCAATAACGTAGTTGTTAATGCAATCGAAAGACTTGGAGATGGAAATGTGCTCTCCGCCGCGCTGGTTAAAAAGAGAGGCTCGGAGCCGATGAAATAAGTTGCCTCGTTCACGCTCTTGAGCACAGAAGATGGTTTACCCTTCGCCGTTGATGACTGCTTAGACTTGTTTCCCAACGAGACCCCTCCATCGGAGTCCACCTTGCTCCTCTCGGTTTCATCTTTTCCATGTCACTCTTAAGCTCCTCTTCTTCCCGTTTGTCCTTCTGTACCTTTTATGACACCTAGTACTTAGGCTGCTCTGTCTATTTATTCTTTATTTTCAGCGGCAAGAAGTAAACGTTTATCTGCTCTCCATTTAGCATGACCAGATTGCACTTCGACGGCAACCCAGGGGTTCCCACCTGAGAGGTCGCTCATGGAACTAAACAAGTAGGATATAGTGATCGGTAGGACTTGATGAGCGTGGGCTGCCCCAGTTACTTATGGCTGGCCCAAATATGTACCCAACCAATGGCCAGCTCGATTGGGCATGGGGCCTCACTGCTCAAAAAGCGCGCTTCCCTCTTGTGAGCACACTTGACGTTGGGATGATAACAATACACTATAATCATAGGGCCACCTTACTATCTATTTTGCCGAAAGGACCGGAGGCAGTTTTCTGCAGCTGTTCAAATAATTAATCACAGTCATCTTACTTATATCCACTTGTTGATGGTGAACCTCACCTGAATCTAAGCTCCACTCGGAGGCGAATGACAAGTTCCCCTGAGGCACACATACGCGCGCCAACCCCTCATCAGCAGCCACTTGCAACCAACAGGTCAAACTCATTCCCACAACACTCATTTCATTTTCTCATTATTCTGTAGCTTTCTTTTCATCCAACTTTATCCTACCAGAAACAACTGTTGCTTAGCACTTCCACGTAGGCCACATCTACTACTATCAACAATTTCCACTATGGTTGACCAGGTTCAACTGCAACAACGACTATGTATAGGTTGTTAATCGCGACTATGATCAATAGGCCCAACCCACAGCTGTTACGTCCGCTTCCGCCTCGACGGACGAAAAACCACAGCTCGTTAAGACTCTCCAGCATTTGACAATCATAGAACACTATGATTGCGGCGCCACTAAGCCCAAGGCCACCACCTTATTCCACACCACTGCGGATGAAGAGCTCTACTTTGGAGAAACGCCTAAGAGCAACTTCGACACGAGTATTTCAGATTTCAACCAAGCACTTGAACGAGTCCCAGACGAAGATGTCTGGCCCGAGATTCCTCCAGAGATGTAGCTTACCCTTGCACCAGAAAGCTTGACAGACGACTCAGCTTGCCTGAAACGACCCGAGATAATCTCCTTTCATCCGGGGGGCAGTAACAACGCTATGATCCCGCGATCAATACTGCGAGAGACATTGATCGTGGAGCAGATCTCGAGGTCTCCCCATCCTGTTTTCATCCGATACTTAGGCTGCCGGGTGCGGCGAAATCGGATCACGGCCATCTGGTTTGAACGACATGAAATCACGTTGAAAGACTATGTCGAGACGCCCGGTTTTGAGAATTTAGACAAGGACAAGTATATGGATAGTATTGATTCGGCTGCGTATCATTTGCATTCCCTGGGGCTTGCTCACAATGATATCAACCCTAGCAACATCATGGTCAAGGATGATATGCTGCCTGTTTTGATCGACTTCGGATCCTGCCAGCCTTTTGGGTACAATTTGGATTCTTTGGGTACTGTTGGCTGGTATGAGAAGCCTTTTTTCACATCTGAAAAGGAGCATGATATTTATGGGTTGAAAAAGCTGCGAGAGTGGATCAAGAACCCAGGGAGAGAGAGACTACCTTATTAGACTGGATGGATCCTTGAATAAAAGATGTCATGGAGAGTGAGCCAGTATATCTTTTCTTCATAGGCTGTTTAGTAGTACGAAATCGCGTTTAATACAGTCACGAATGATAGCTGGTTGAGATATAGAGGCACCTACCGCAACAGTACCGCTTGGGAAGTATCGGGGCGGTGGGCCTTACGCTTAGGTTTTGTGGCACATCGTTTTGATGACGAAAAACAGCCTTGGAGTATGAAGCTATATGAGGACGCATTTCTCTAAAGGTTCGTCCGAAAGGTTGTGGTGGAGAAAATGGGAACGTAACTTGCCTCGAAGCTATCTTGGTGCCCTTGCCTATTAGTTTGTCAATTTTTGCTCACTTTGTAGGAATCGAGAGCGGAAAGGGCTGTTTACCTATAGGGCTGAGGTATCAAGCTATTGAGATATTAGCATATAAGTTAAGAGGGGAAGATAAAAAAAAAGATTAAGTTTAGTCTTAACTATAAGTTTATGCTTAAATTCAAATTCCTACTTTGTCTTTTTGATATCTTTCTGAGGTTTATTTTTCTTCTTTAAATTATTTAAACGGCAAGGCATTCAGCGACGTTAAGAGCGCGATCAACTTCCACGAGTCACACCGTAGCGAGAGACGGCTGGCCCGCGAGATAAAAGATAGATAGATAGATATAAGTTAAACTCCAGATAGCTCCAAGGGATTAAATTATAAACCGTAGTTTTAACATCAAGACACAAGATTCATCTTTAATAGGTAGTAGTAGAATAGGGACTAATTAGTTTAATTATAAGATATAGTAACTTAATTATAGAGGCTTATTTATTTCTAAGGCTAATTAACCCCTAGTCACTAACTCTTCTAAGGGGCTATATCCTCTCATTTCTTATTATACTATCTATATAAGTAAATCAAGCAAGGAGTTAATACCTAATACTAATACTAAATAGCTAAGTAGATTAAGGGAAAGGACTCTAGAAAAAAGCTAGCTTAGAAGTATAAGCATAGCTCGGTTAACCTAAATCCAACTAAATTTAGGCTTACAAATCGCTTAGATTATATGGTCATTAATCAGCTTCAAGAACAGAAGCAACCTTTGGTAAGATTGTTTTATAGGAAAGTGTTTAGCGCATTAAAATAGAAGATCAACCCCAGCGACGAAAAACAATCGTTTGCAAGACTCATCATGAACACCTAAATCTGTCTATATGACAGTTTCCCACTGATGCTGGTGAAGGGTATATTTAGCGTACACAGCTGAAGGCCGCGTGCCCTCGTTTGCGAAGACCGGGCGGCTTCCAGCTCGTAATATGTTGCTAGGAAAGTTAGAAAGCGAACAGTCCCAAATGGAGCATCAGCAATCCACTGGCTGAATTATTTCAAGTGTTTGCGATCTACGGCCTGGCCATTCCATCCACAGAGAGAGCAAGTACAGCTTATTGTCTACAAGACCTTATTGGCACTTGTCCACCCATTATGACTCAAAATTAGTCGTCACATTCTGGAAGGGCCTACATCCCCCCTGGTCTCTGACCGTAAGAGTCATTAGGCAACCGTGAGCAATGTCTCTCGGTCGCGCTAACTAGTAATGCAAGATGACGCGACGTTGCTTCTTGGAGCTGCTCTTTTTCTGCTAGCGCAGTCTGTAATTATCTAAGAAAATCAATCTCGAGCAAACTCAGGCCAGCGACTGACATAGAACATGGCACTCCTAGACACTCTAGCATTAAACAATATGAAAATAAATATTGTAGAATAGTTCCCTATGCTCTTATTATTGTGATTACTGAAAATGAGGTCCCTGCTTTGCGTGAAAAGAGCCTTGGTGTGCGATGTTATCAAATTTCAGCCACTCGCCAAGCAAGTTGAGGTCAGAACAGTGAGTCAATATCGGCTCAAGAGGCAAGAAAACAACATTTGGCTCGTGCCCGAGCAAAGTCAATGCTGATCTCGAAACTTATGCCTAGAAATCTGTTCACTGTCCCCAGCTATCATTTACGATCTACGCCCTTTAACTCGTGAAGCCAAGACGGGCCGGTCCCACCAAAACGTTCCAGAACCTCTGCCATCCATGCATATTTTAGCACGATTGGAGGTTGCCTCCCGATTGGACAGCGCGTATCATCTAGCTTTTTAACAGATACACGTCATCAGTTTACATATCAAACACTGCTCAGCCAATTTCGAGGATCAGTATTGTGCCTCGTTACGACCTGTTCAATCAGCTGGCTCTTTTATCAGCAACTGTTCTCTTCCCCAATGGTATACTTTGTGCAAGAAAGAGACGTACGATGGTTGAGAAGTCGGACAATAAAGACCACGCCAAGCCGTTGGCCAAGCCCAAGAGGACCAGGGCATACGCTCCCAAGGTTCGCACTGGCTGTATAACCTGGTACGCCCCAATCATATCTCTACCCAAGCTGCAGGAGCGTAAAATGGAAGAACAGCAGCCAATTAGGGCGCGAGCAGCGCATCGCAACACTGCTAACAGTTTGACAGCAAGTAAGATAGTCTCGCTCTGACGAGGTAGATCTACTCCACCGGCTCGGTTCTCTTATTCTAATTCTTGCTACTCTAGAATACGTCGAAAAAAGTGCGATGAAGAGAGGCCAACGTGTCTTCGATGCAGAGAAGGTGGCTGGAAATGCGACGGCTACGCTCCGGTTACAAAGCGCAACTTCAACAAAAGCACCTTTACGAGCGACGAGGACAATAGCAGCACAGAGGATGCCGTGGTAAATTCGACTACTCAAGGAGCTATAGTGAAGATATTTTCATCTCAGGCTCGCACGGCAAGATCACAATCGGTCGCACAGCTCTTACCACGCCCAACAAGTATTGATACCCTGGAAGCACTCCTTGAGAGGCGCTTCCTGAGCCACTTTTTCAAGTTCACACTCAATAGCATCAGCTCATCTTATGATACCGGGAACTTTTGGCTGTGGACGCTCCCTAATCTGATCCAGGATCAACAACTAATCCGCCACTCTATCACCGCACTTGGTGCTGCGCACTGGATGTTTCAAAGCGATGGCCTCATCTCGTCAAACCAGATGACCCATTACAATGCCTTTATCCATAAGCAATACAACATGGCCATCTCTCATCTAATCCCCATCATGTCCAATAACCAATCGGAGAACATAGAATTAGTCCTCGTCTCTTGCCTGTTGTTCATCTATCTTGAGACTCTGCGGGGCAATCACTCAGAAGCTCTTCGACACTTAATTTCGGGTCAAAAGTTGTTGAAGAATCTCAGCCATCAAGGCTCCAAGTCGTCCGTGGAAGCGACCGGAGTACTTTCCAAAATTGCCACCTTGTTTCGAGCACTCGGGAGCATTGTCAACGCGTTTGGCGAAAACAAGATACTGTCAGATCTCACAGTATATGCCAAGCCAATGCGGGGGCCTGACGATCCCAACCAGCCGTACGACAGCTTAGTAAAAGCAATGGACGACTTGACTTTGCTTGAATTGGAACTATCAGATATTCAATGTCCAGAGGAGGAAGCCATCAGCAAAAACCCTGAGAAGGAGGAGGAGAGAGACAGGCAACAGCAAGTGTACGACGCCGTGATTAAACGATTCCTAGTTTGGGAAAAACGATTTACAGAAACAGTGAAAGTCATGTCACCTTCTGATAACTATGATTTCCTCAATTTGAAGGTGCAACAAGCGATGTGGCAGCTTGTGCTAGAAGAGGAGGTTGATGAAGACTTTGAGCTACCGGCGGAGCAGTGCTGGCCGCTGCTGGACATGATCGAGAAGATGTTGATAATGACACCTTCAACACAACGAACTTTCGCCCTCAGGGCGGATTTGATCCCACCACTGATAGGAATTTATGGCGTATGCAAGGATTTTTCGGTGAGGAGACGTGCGATTACGCTGCTTCGGTTACGCAGACGAAAGGAGCTCGTGTGGGACGGTGAGGAAGCGGCTGATTTCCTGGAGAACGATTTGAAGATGTGCATGGTAGGATTGAAAACCCCTTCATGGCCAGACATCGGGCCGCTGGCCAACAAGAACGCACTACTGTGTTATGAAGTTGATGGCAATTGATGAACCTTTTCGGAGGGAATTAATCATTGTTATCTTCAATATCCCAATTCAGCAAAATAAACATATTCTTTTAGGCTTATGGATACTGTAAAGTCTCGTAAGATGACCGACTTCTAGGTGTTGGACTGCGAAGTCATCTCGACAGAAGTATTGTGTAAGCCAGTCACATCATAATGTTTTTTATTGTGTAATAATAGGTAGACACCATTGTCTGAAAATTACTCAATGATTTATATCTGGGCTCATCAATTTAGCTGCGCGCCTTTTTCCTACATGTCGTCTAAGCCGTGGACAATCCTACAAAAGCTACTTCCGTTCTTGAAACTGAACAATAATTATATAATCTGAGCAAAGTCTGAGCCTAAAATGAGCTAAATTAAGATTGCCCGTCTATGAGACTTCCTCCCGGGCGTATATAAAGTTCAGTGCTAATAATTGCTTGTGTCCGGCGTGATGGCTCTTTCGCTAGCATGGCTCTTCATCATGAAACTTAAAATCCTGCTTTTCACCTATTTAAAGGCCGCCATCCACTGAGGTAGCGAAGTGCGTGTTTTTTTGTTCTTCCCATCTATTGGCTGTAGTGTATCTTTTGCCGTGGCCCGTATCGGTAGATTCCTCAAGTATCGAAGCCATATCTACGTCTGATGGAATATTTAAAGGGAACCGCCTCCCCGGAATGTCATTAACATCTCAATTCCCCCTTACTGCTTTTCTTTCATGTCTGACCGCATTGCCAGCCTCAACATGAATCACTCACAACGACGAAGGTCGTGGTCTAATCTTCCACCAGAGATTCGAGGGCAGATTCTCAGGGTCCTCTGCCAAGACTCTGGCATCGCCAAATACGCAACAGTCTGCTCTGAATGGCAGAGATTTGTTGAGAGGATCACATTTCAGCACCTCACTCTCAATAACTCGACTATAGAAACTTTTGATCGAATGACAAGTAGAGACGAAAATTCGCACCGAGTCCATTATATTCACTATATATGGCTTCGCATTAGCATACCAGAATATGACTGTTTCCAATGTCTTGAGCATGAGACTGAACTCGAGGCTCACAGGTATAATATACTCTCCAAATCAAGACATTAATTGTATACAGAATATTAATATGGGACTTCTTCCAAATAGGAACGACTTGATCTTCACTGGAGTCATGCATAAACTGCTTTACATCCTCTCAACTTGGCCACGACGAGTAGACTCTGATGGCATCACTCTTGAGATAAGCATCATATGCCCAAGTGACAATAATCATTTTTACTATGATGTTGCAACCCACGACGATTACCCATTCAAACCATGGGCCCTAAATATTAACCCGCACAAGGTGTATATGTTCCACGGAGCTCATTTCGACATGATGCAACGTACCCGTCTTGATTGTGCGCCACACTGTCATGCAGGGATGGAAACTTTGTAAGACTCGGAGTCTCTTCATGTACCGGAAAGACACCTCGGATCTCTTATTCAGTTCCGGTGGCTAAATGAGAGTCGACGGCTTCCACGGGCTGAAGTCGTTAAGTCATTGGTGATGCGACATCAGTTCAAGCGACAGTTGAGCCCGCTAGCTCTTGCAAAGCTTTTCAGTGAGAGTTTGGTATCTGCCACCTCTTTGAGGCTAGAAAGGTGGTGTAGGTTCACAACAGAGGAAGAAAACAACTATTTGACTGGTGAGATATGCCGCCCGACCCTTTTCCCCTGTTATGCCTAGCTACTAATATAGAGTAGAATTCCGACAATATGTACTACCGTCTTTACCAAAGAGTCTCCAGGGCTTTCACTATGTTGCAGAAACATTTAGGGGTGGTCGGCTCGTAAATCCGGACCAGGTCAACTCCCTCTCTACTGTTGAGTTGTTGACTAAATACGGGCACAAGTGGAAGGAGCTGTCAGTTGTCGAGCCCTTTGGCTCACTGGACCAGTTTACAGAAGCGCAAGGGCTGAAGGCCTTGCACACAGAGCAATTGTCTCTCAAGCCTTGGGTTCAAATTCAGAGAGTGTGCTTCAAGTCTAGTGTGCTGATACCAGGGAATGAAGCTACGATTAGCGACCTGTTGGTATCCACAGCCACTATTGCTAGAAATATGCCGAATATCCGAAGCATAGAGATCTTTAATACGAAGAGCGACTCGTCTAAATCCGAGCACCCCTCATGTCTGGTACGCTACAATACTGAGTTCCCGCAACCTATTTTATCATGGCAAAGCGACTGGATGTTCTCCATGGAAGCCATAGTCAAAAGAATCCCAAATCAGAGTCCCGGATTCTCCTTCACAGCTCAGACGAGGCGTGCGTGGGAGCGGACTGCACTAGTGCATACTGGTCGTCATGGGTTAAAGACTGTTGTGCGTGAGCCGAGAATATTTTTACCGCTATGGGTGCGGCTGGCGGATAAATTCAAGTTGGAGGCTGTTCATCCTTTAACGAGGGCGATTATGAGAGTTTATTCGGATCGGATGCAGTTGTGAGATGATGATATCGGGAATGTGTGTTTTCGATGGATCCGAACAATGTAGCTTCAAATGTGCGAGTGTTCTATATTCGCCGAACAATGCCTACACAGTTCCTACAAGCTTAAGGGGTTAAATATTGACAAATACATATGAATGATTTAGAAAGGAAAATTTCAGTGTGCACCGCGGAGGCATGTGTGACAGCAATATCATTAGATGAACCTACAAGCCCCCGTACTGGTCGTTATTAGCTTCCCTTTTTCTGATGTAGTCAATTGACACTTTCTTTCCGATTTAAGGGATTCTGAAAGACCGTCCTAGATACAGCACTCCAGGACTCTATACTCAAAGTAAAAATAAGCTATAGTTTCTATCGGAGTCCAGAGCCGGCTAAAAGCCCAGGGTTAAGTTAACCGCCAATCAACTCCTGATTGGCCTTGGCCCAGTCTTCCAAGGTTGTGAGCTGCCCGGCATATTTCTGAAAATTGGCGACAGCCTCTTCGTGTGTCTTGCTGTTCAATTTAAACTCTGCCAAGAGTGTCACCATTTGCCGCGCCAAGGGCGGCGGCATCCCAGCTTTCACCATATACTCCACCGCTTCCTCTTCGCTCTGTTCGGTGACCTTGATCTCCTTGCCAAGGATTCTGCTAAAGATCCCAACGGCTTCCCTCGGCGATAGAAGCTTGGGTCCATAAACCGAGATGGAATTGCGTGGCTCGGCGCCTTCTGTAGCGTGCATGCCCTGCACAAGTACAGTACCAGCCGCTCGGCCAATGTCAGCGGGCGTAATCCAGTCGAATTTGACATCAGGATAGGAGACTTTGACCTCCCCCTCGCGGATCATGCTCGCCCATCGAGAGGCGTTGGTATTGAAGTAGCCCGGTCGAATCGCGACGTAGCCATGAGATCCAAAGATTTCGTCGAGGCCAATTTCAACCTGCGCATGGGCGTAGGGTACCAAGTAGGAAGGCGTGATTTTCCGAATATCACCTTGGACAGTGTAGGAGCTGAGAAAGACTACGAACTCGATGCCAGCCAACTTGAGCGCCTCAATGGTGGGTCGTAGGTAGCCTTCCTTGGTGCGCACGAGGTAGATGAAGGCGTGCTTGGCTCCGGTCGAGCGCACTGCAGACTCGACAGTTTCGGGCTGGGCGAGGTCGGCTTGGACTCGCTCAAAACCCCTAGACTTCTCTTCATCAAGGTTGAGGCTGTGGATGGGCTTTTGCAGATCACGCACCGACAGAATGACCTTTGCTCCAAGCTGTTGGGCCTGAATCGCGGCGGCTGAGCCAACGTGACCGGTGGCGCCAAAGACGATGATAGTAGGAGGTGCCATTCTGAAAATACTTAGCTTCGTAGACAAGAGGAGAAATCTCAGCAAAAAACTATGTGAACTTCCGGAAGACTCCAATACTTATATTTATTTTTCAGGCCGTGTAGAAAGTGGCTCTGCTGTTTGATGTTGTTTCCCTCCTTCGGCAGAGTCCCACTTTTACCGAGACACCCAGACACTATTCCGAAAAAGGAAAACAATGTACCCTGTTGGTGACGTGCATCGGCCGAACTGATTATTAAACTCGAACGTCTCCTCACACTGATTTCCGCTTTTACACGAGCCTTTGGTCCCATGCGCGGCCTCAATTCGATGATTGTTCTCCTCTTTGGGTAACATTGAGCACCGGCGCGATAACTCTAAGAGAAAACACCATACCACACCCGCTATAAAGTTACATCGGAGGATCTTCAATGCCGAAGAAGAGGACGCGTCCGGCAAATGCGCCACATACTTTCGCCTTCGTCTCTGTCAACGATTTCGGACAAGTGCAACAGGCAGCGGATCGGAGACTGATCAGAAGCCACTGCATGATCGGTAAAAATAAGAAAAGGCCAGACCCTAAAGCCAAACTCTCCAAGCATCGCAGTGGTCGGAGTGGGGAGAATGAAAAGGAGTCCCCCGTAGCCCCTCCTTCCGACCTATTACTCGTCAAATTCGTCAAGGATATCGACTCACAGTCAAGAAAACTCCTCTTCGAGTGTTAGTCAGACCCTCTAGTCCCGAAATTGTAACATTGCACGCATCCCGGCTAACCCCTGTTGGAGACTTCGTCGAGTCAAAGTCTCTCCTGTATCCCCGTGAGCTCGGCGTTGATTATGAGTGCAGCAGGAGCTCTTGGTTTGTGTGGCTTTCGTACGACATGGGATTCTTCCAATCAGTCCTACTCAGCGCGTCCGCCATGGTGGACTACAAGACAAGGAAACCGTTCAGCAACGCAACGCACCAGCACTTACGAAGAACCATTCGTCTGTTGAATGAGCGCTTGTCGGATGATGTTCTCGTCCGGAGTGATGCGACCATTTCTATCGTGCTCAATCTCAATAGGCTTGCCGGCTATTCCGGGGATGAGGAGGCCAAGAAGACGCACAACGGTGGTCTTCAACAGCTGGTGCACCTGCGTGGGGGTTTGGATGCGTTCCGCTACAATACTGAAATGTGGATCAAGCTGAGTCGGTAGGTTGATATTCCTAACCGCGTTGGCCGCCTCTCTCGTGGCTAACTACGAGGTCAGTCTTGACTTCGGCTTTTGCCTTGACACCAGACAGCAGCTATCAATCTTCGAGACCGAGCCCACATTCTGGGATCCGCTATTCGATTACAAAAAGCCCCTTCCGTCCGAAAACCCCATCTATGGTATTATACCAGAGTTATCCGCGGTCGAATCCATCGTGGACTCCAGACTGGCCACCATCTTCCGCGATTTGCAGTATCTCGGTGCGCTTCTCAACACCGCAGCCGTCCGCAAACGGACCATCGGCGATAGGCAATTCCATGAAATTGTGTGCTCCATCCAACGCCGGCTCATGCGCCTGCAAGGTACGCTGCCCGACCTCCTAGGGGAGTGCTTCCGGTTGGGCATGCTAGCCTTCCTGGCGACGCTATTTCAAGTTCCACGGACGCCATGTAGCTACCCTTACCTCGAAACCCGGCTCAAGGAGGCCTATCAATCCATAGATACGACACCGGACCGGCGGGATCTGTTGCTGTGGCTGCTAATGGTCGGCGCCATGACGGTGTACAAGCCCGATGATCCCTGGTTGCGCGATCGCTGGCTGTCGGACGTGTCACACTCGACGTGGCCAGAGGCGCGAGGAAGACTACAGGATGTTGTATGGATCAACGCCATGCATGATAGGCCGGGCAGGCAGGTCTTCGATGTGTTGAGCATGAAGAAAACGGACTTCTTTGATTTGTCCGGTTGATCGTCTCTAAGTCCGCATTACCGCATTGGCCCTCTTACCCGGTCCTAAGGAAAGCTAAGGCCTCTGTAGCCTAAAGGAAGCTAGGTAAAAGAAGGTAGTTTTAATAAGTATTTAATAAGCTACTTATCCTAATAGTAAGTCAGTTATTAATATAAGGGTCTATAGACTTTTCTTTCTATATAACTATAGCCTTAGGCTAGTAAAGGCTCCTTTTAAGCTTCTATATTTATTATATTAAGTTATTAGGTTCTAGTAGCTTCTATTACTATTAAACTTTATTCTCTTTCTCTTACGTATTTATAGCTCGCTAATTGATCAAGTTACCCCAGCTGGCTCTTCAGCATGTTTACACTTTCAAACGGACGATATGGTCTAGTTGCATCACGCCATCGCTCAGGAATGATGATGAACTCCCAGGCTTCATACTTACTAGCCCGTAAGAGTATGTTACAGAGCATAGGGAAGCCAATCATGTAGGTCGGAATAAGGCTGAACATGGCGTACCTATAACCCAAAAGGGCATTCCAGTCACGCTTTACGAGAGCCCAAAAGTTTCAGAACTCGCCGCCCTCTCAGATTTCCCCATCCGATCAATATAACAAAATTTCAACATGGTGGGCTGATCGGGCTTGAGACATTGTGGTCAGTCCACTTTTGGTTTTGGTCCAGACCCAGCTCGAATCGCAAAGGCTATTTGTGAGATTACCGCCGGCCCAAACCGGAATCACTCAACAATTACGTGTAGCCACCCCTTCGGAGCCTACTCCCCGTTATTTGAGGTGTCTCCTATACTGATCAAGCCTCTCATTTCCGGCAGCGCACACCTCCATTGTTATTCTTCACCCTACTATTAATCGTTCGCCATTTCTAAATCGCTCGTTCACGATTCAATTACGCACAATCCTGTTCATGGGCCGCGAAATAGACAGAAATGCCGCCACAGATTTTTCCAGATAAAGGCAAGGATGAGCCACCAAATATGCCCCCCCCTCCGTGGGGTTTCGCTGGAGCCTGGGCGCTCTTGGGTATGATCGTCATTCTCCTTTTACTTTCTGCCATGTACGTGCTGCCTTGTGCAATAAATGAAGTGCAAGAAGCTGACAAACGCTCATTGAACACAGCGCAGGTGATAGATGGTAGATGCCTGGCTCTCTCGAGATAGACCCGGAGACCGGGATATCGTGGAGCAATGTAGACCACAGTAATGAGGATCTTGATCAACTTGACGCAGTGGCACCGGAGGAGAGCTATGAGAAACTGAGGGACGAGGTAGAACACTGCTAAGAAGGGGACTATCTGGCTTGGCCCGACTCATTCTACGAGTGGTGCGTACCTTTCCAGAAACCTGGAGAGGATTTGACTCTTTGCTAAGCCTTGTCGGTTCACAAGTACAGCATCGTATGTTTAGACTGCATGAAAGCTGGTCAAACCGTCCGACGTCTGCCTTGTGGACATGTCTTCCACTCACAGTGCATCATTCCGTGGTATCTAAGACGCCATTATTCTTGTCCGCTTTGTTTGCATGAGTACATACCGGAGGGCGAATAGATATGACAGACACTATATTCTTGACCCTCCCATTGCAAACGCCAAGTTAACCCTATACGAAGAGAGGAAAGAGTCTGGCCCCGCAACCAGAGTTGTAGATGAGACGATAGCGTGGAGTAGCAGCAGAAATAAAAAGAAAAAAAAAAAACGGAAAAAGGTAATTTCTCGGGCAGATCCAGTGCTTAGCATACAGCATCCAATTTCCCTTGATCAAAAGACCTTTGCCAAGTCTGCAATCAGCCGTTGAATTTTGGGTCCCCCCCCCGGGAATAAATTTTCTCTTCGACAACGATACAAGTTTGTTTGTGTGGCAGTCTATAACTAGGCCACGTGTGTCAGCTGCGTGAGTTGCGTGAGTTGGATGGTGGCGTGATTTCAAAAAGCTCGCCCGTCGCAAAATGTCCCATCGAGAGGGAGGGTAGTGAGAGTATACGTCATACCGATACCAGGTAAACTTAGTGTCAGGACGCCCACTCAAATATCCTTTCATGTAATTATCAGCCACACACCAAACTCAAAGTCGTATGTCCCATCAGTTCATCATCAATCGATAGAGGAGAGTAACATATGATACATATTGAGAAGAAAGGAAAACATATATAGTTGCTTCGTAAATGAGAGAAGCGCCAGCGAATTTAATATAATGTCATCAATATTGCAACAATGGCACCTACGAAAACATCCGAATCCAAGATAGTTCCAGAATTCCTTCACCACACGTGCTTGACTGTAGATGAGCACGACATTGAGGCCACAAAGGATATTCCTCGACTCTACGTTATCGCTACCCATGCAACAACAAAAGCGGCCAAGGAATTCGCCCATCATGCCTTGACGTCCATGGGTTACGACAAGGCAGACTTTGCAGTCTATCAGGAGCAGACACCTGATGCAGAAGGCTGGACGCATGGTGACGGTGTTATTGTCTATGCCAAAGCGCCTGCCAGTCAAGAGTTCTTTGTTAGCATCGATACCACGCTGAATACGGAAAACTTATGCGCACAGGAAGATGGGTCCATGATCCTCCCGCATGGCGCCGATCACCTCCAATACATCCTTCAGACTAAGATCGACTATCGGGCTGATCGTGCTGTCACCACTCAGGTCCAAGGAGCTTATTTGAAACGCAACGATGCTATCGAGGCAGCGAAGTGGTGTCTACTAGTTGACGGCCCGGACGACGCTGAAGCTCTTTACGACCAGTTCGATGCCCGAGAAGACCTGAGTGTACCAGAGGATTGGCCTTTCGGGGAGGATGTTGTCGTTCACGCTGTGGCATACACCGGCGAGAACTTCTTAGTTTCACTGAGAACGCCACCAGCTGCTTACCTGAAGCTCAGCAAGCATGGTAGGGAGAAATGGCACAGTGCGAAGCAAAAGGCAAATGAAGTATCGAAATAAGGATGGAGTAGCTTTGAGACCCCTGAAGGTTGGGTGTTGGGTAATACTTGCCTTGGGTGATGGGATGCTTGTATATTGTGAGTGGTAGTAATTTTCTTATGATTAATGGTATTTCATACGAATCAAGGGGACAGGCACTTTAACAGTGGGTGTACGTAATACCTCTTTGAGGGATTCTCTCATGAATCATCTCCTGACAGGCGGCATTGCCGCCTTGACTTAATTGAAGTAATTCAAATGCTTTAGAGAGATTGTTTGACATAGCATTATTTTCTATATCAAAAAAAAACAATAACAACACCACGTATCGCTGCGCTGAATGGATGTATTGCAATTTGCGGTCATTATATTTCCCGCGACAGTTTCTCATCACTGGACAAGGCGCGAGATAAGTCGCTCAAAACATATAGCATTCTTAACTATACTATCTTTGCCACTCCTGGGTTTAAGACCAACTAATTACGGTGAACAGATATTATCAGCTTCTTCTTTAGCCATAACATTCACCTACCGCCCATTACATTTAAATTTGGGATCCCCTGCAAGCTTGGTTCCAAGGTAGTACCAAGCAGGCGTATTCCTAACAGTAGTAACCTCATCGCTAAGTCCCCCTTAAGAAGTGCATAATATATTTTTATACAGCTTGCCATCTATACAAAGGTCTAGTAGGTGTTATTTAACTACTTGCCTATCACTCGGCTGTGCTAGAAACCTATTTACGCCCTATTAGACTTTGAACCAGGTTCCGCGGGGGAAAGAAGTAATAATAGGACGACCAGCATAAACGGCGGATAAATTCATGGTCTCAAAACCTTCTTAAGTTAAGAGCTGCAGCACGACGTGAGCATTGCTAATCAAGGCGTTAAGAAGTCGATCATTCTCGTTTAGTGTGATAATATTAATGTCCTAATGTAGATAAAGATGCCATGCCTTTATCTTTATTATGATTTGTTTATAGATGGACCTTCTCTTAGGTTCACCGATAGTATGGCTCCTGTAACTAATTAATTAGCGTCACGAACTATATTGTCAGTTTTACATAAGACATGGACACTTATATAACAAGCTGGGGAGGAATTATATTGCTAACTCTAGTATATAATGCCTGTAGCAGTCGGTTGTATAATTGTAGATATAATATCCAGTATGCAGATGATTTGAACCCGCTCATGATACTACCTTAGGTCCCTCTGCCGATTGAAAACGTCGGTCCGTTTGCCACAGCTCAGTCAATAACTTTAGCAAGCCGAAATACCCCGATAGCTGGGTGATATTCGCATTTAGTGGTCTAGAACCTACGAAATAACGGCATGGCTTGCTCCTGAAAATCAAAATCAGGTGACTATGAAGCTGAGCTGACGTAGGCTTCAGAATGTCATAACACCAGCGGCTCGTCCCCCACTCCGCCTTTGTTTTCTTAAAACAATACAAAACCTCGCCAATCCCAGGCCCCCGGGCCGGTGTTGACACCATGTTCTAAATTTTTACACATGACGCCACTAGACGAATTGAATTCAGGCTGGCACTGGCAGCTGTAGGTTGTATTGTAGCATTCCATGGAAAAGTTTAAAGTTGGTGGCGGTGATTACGTCGCACGGATCTCAAAAGCTAGTGATCGCCGATCTACCATTCGACGATGCCGGCCAAACCCGCCAACTGGCCGGTTGACGGCGACCAGCGTCAACAATCTAGACCGATATCAACAATCCAATTCGCCGGATGTCGGAAATGGCATTCTGGCCATCCTCAGCCACAGAAAACGGTCAAAAATATTAAGGTTCCTAGCGCCAGGTTTCAGACAGGTCCTGGTTCATCAGGTAATCCACAAGTAAGCAGATCCCTTGCGTCTCAAGCAGCCACCATGGACGATCACTCAGATATCCTTGCAGTCCATTGCTTTCCATTGGACGCGTTTGAGGCCGGCCATGAAGTAACCAACTGGAATCAGATTGAAGACTCTAGCTGCGAGCTCTCAAAAGCAGCCCTGTTTTCGTTTGATCCTCATTTGTTTGGAGCAGCATCGGACCTAGAGTCATCAATCTCCGCACAATCCTCTAGTTTTCGCACGCATCCTCACACACGAAGTGGAAGCCTGACGCAAACAGATGCTGACTTCATCTATTGGGATGATCACTTTCCGCATATTGAGGCAACATACGAAACGCCCGTCCGCGAACCAACCTCAATTTCAGATGATTGGTTGGCAAGCCCAACCATAGACGCCCAACACAACTCTCACCAAGGCTCATCTGGCTACGGATCAATATCTACTCCCATCCAAAATCAAGTCCAGCTCCATCTTCCAGCGCAAGTTCCTCACACACGACAGTCAATAAGTTCTATAGGGAACCTAAGTACTTGTTCGAAGGGAAGGGGATCCAGGTCATCTTTACACAATGCCGTCGAGAAACGATATCGAAACAAATTGAACGACAAGCTTGCTACCCTAAGAGATGCGGTGCCAAGCCTAAGAATAGGCTTGAAGAGAAAAAGGAAGGAGCTTATTCTGGCAGACGACGTCAAAAAGCTGGATGGCCTGGGGGTTCCAGCGAAGATAAACAAAAACATGGTTTGTAAAGCCCCATTCCCCTCTCGTTTCGCTCCAAGTCAGCTTCTTAACTTTCTCTCTGGCTGCAGATTCTAGACAAAGCTGTAGAGTATATACAGCATCTTGAGCAGCAATGCATTTTGCTCGAAGACTCAAGAAATCAACCCCACGCCACGTACAATTTCTTGGACAGTCTGTTGGCTTTTGAAGCTGACAATGCATTTCAACATTTCCAAACTCCGGTGAAGGTTCACAAAGATTGCATGTCTGTCGCGGGAACATATTGTCCGGCATAACGGCGCATCCAAGATTCGACTCCCAAATAAGGGGTTATAGTATAAAAATAAGAAAAGTTTACTATTTTATCTTCTCGGTAAGTGTCTCCGAGTTGATGTTGCTTAATTTTGTAGAATTAAGCGTATTCACCTCTGTGGTAGCAATATAGAATTAATTGATTAAGTACCCTGTACATCGTATTTTTCTGCTAGTAGTGTGGTGATCATGCAGTTCAAGGCTTTCCAAATGCGCAAAGTTTTGTCGCTAGTCAAATACTGAAAATCTCCAACTTCTATGTATGTGTTTGACTGCTTCCATCATAGTAAACACCAGGGCCAGATACAAGCATCGATGCCTCTCTACGTCCCGTTCGTTATCCATCTCATGCGGCCCGACATTATAGAGCAAGATAGGAAGCAGATTGGTTGAACTCATGTTATGATTTTCTTGCAATTCGCCTGACGACCTGGAAGGGTGAGAGTTCGGGCCCAACGAGGGTGTCATGATTAATGCACAATCACAAACTGTCTGATCTGCTTGTTTTCTAGGGGGTGTTCAGCCCGGTCTGCTCCCTCCTCGACAGGGCCGCCGCTCTATCTACAAAGGCCGGCAGGATCACAGTAAAGCAAGAGTGGGAATACAGATTTCGGATTATGGGAATCAGGTTAACATTGTAGATTCCACCGTCTGAATCGACAACGGGTAACTAGCATATGCCAATATTAGCTAGCTATGTTATGGGGATTTCCCTTAGTAATTACATCAAAATCATGTCATCAATCACCAAAAACATCACGGCGACCACGGCGATGAAGATTATGTCAGACAGCTAATCCTTGACGGGAGCACGGGCATTGGCCGCCGCAACGAAATGCCCCCAAGTAATCAGGTCTCTGCTACAGTCATCTGGATCGATCTTGCACTCGATCAGTGTAGGACCGTCCACATGGACCATTGCCTTGTCCAGCGCCTCGGTGAAATGATAAACTGTAGATACCTCGAAGCTCAGAGCACGGCCTCCGCCTTCCTCGCTGTTGAATGCCTGGACAAGAGAAGCATACTTCCAGTTCTGGATGCGGTTGTACAAGCCATCATGGATCTCCACCTCGATGGTGTAGCCCTTGTTGTTCATCAAGAGGATGATGATGGGAACCCGCCATCGGACCATTTGGGAAACCTCCTGGGCTGTCATTTGGAATGCACCATCCCCAACCATGACGACCACTCGCCTCTTGGGCTTGGCCAGTGCATAGCCGAAAGCTGCAGGTATGGTCCATCCAATATGCCCCCATTGCATCTCAATCTCGAATCCAGCACCGTGCGGTAGGTGCAAACTGATTCCGTTGAACCATGAGTCCCCCGTGTCGACAAACACTGTGGTCTCTGGGGTCACAAGCTTTTGTGAACGACGAACAATCTCTTTCCGGGTCAGTTGATCAAGTCCACGGGATGCTCTCGTGTAAGGTGGATCGAGACGCAGTCGATTATACTCAACCATGGTCGTGGCATTCCAGGGCACCGTTTCTGACAGTCTGGCAAGGAAGTCGTGCAGCCACACTTGGCTGTAGAAGGTCGGTGGACCAGGCACCATGACGCTGTTTGTGTCTACCACCAGCTTGTCCACACTGGGCATAGCCGTCCAGCCGACGGTACTATAGTCGGTGAAGACGGTACCGATGCAGATCAGGACGTCTGCCCAGTTGACAATGGTGTCAGCTGCCAGCGTACTGACTTGTCCCCAGAAAATACCCGCAAACTGGGCGTGGTCCTCGGGGAAACAGCCCTTGGCTGCTGGCTGGGGGACAACGGCACATCCAATGGCCTCGGCCAGTTTCACCAGGGCCGTCTTCGCGACCTTTCCTCGCACCTTGGGCCCAACAAGGATGACGGGTTTCTTTGCGGTTGCCAAGAATTCAGCTGCTTTGGCCACAGACAAGGCTAGGGAGGTCGAGTCACTGGGTGTTCGTTCAATGACGGCGCTGATGGGCCCAGGCCTTGGACATGTCTCGCCAGCGAGATTGGTTGGAATCTCTATATAGGCCGGCTTGGCCTCCAGCAGAGCTGTCCGGATGGCACGGTCAATGAGCTCTGGCGCTTTGTCTGCCCTGTTGACGGCCACAGCACAGCAGGTGATCTTCTTGGCCATCTCTAGCTGGTAGGTGAAGCTGCGTTCGCCCAGCGTGTGATGTAGCAAATGGTGGCCTGCATCATTTGAGTTGGGCGCTCCGCTGATCATGATGACTGGGAGGTTCTCGGCATAGGCACTTCCAACACCGTTGAAGGCTGCGAAGGCACCGACGCTGTAAGTGACGACGCAAGCACCCACCCCATTGGCACGGGCGTATCCCTCAGCGGCTAGGGAACAGTTGAGTTCGTTTGTGCAGCCAACCTCGGATAGAGACGGGTGCGAGTCGAGCTTGTCAAGAAGAACCAAATTGTAGTCTCCAGGGACGATGAAATGGCGGCGAATGCCTATATCCGCAAGCCTCTCAGCGAGGTACTCGCCAATTGTAAAGGAAGACATGATGGATTGTCAAGAGAAAGGAATTGCAAGTATGACAGGAGTTGGAGTCTAGTCGATCCTACCAAAGCACATATCGAGGGCATTTCTCTCGTCTAGAGACTGTTAAGAAGTCCTCATCTCTGCTCTAATCCCTTGGCAGCTTACAACTGCATCCTATCACGACATGTGTATCCGGCTACCCGAGAAATGGGGTGTCATTAAGTTGGGTCGTTAAAAGTAAGGTTTAGCGCAAGTTGACGGTCTCCGGCTATAGATACATGCCAACCACCACCCTCTTCGCTGGTTCCGTATCGGAAGCCGCCGACTCGGCTGACAGACAAAGCCACCGGTCCAGACTATTCCCGATGACCACTTAAGGTTTGACAGTGGCATGATCGTGGATGATACGATGCTATGCTGTCCTGCCGTATAGCTCAAGTCAGATGACTTGGAAGATGCTATGACTGTGTTTACGGATTGGCGCGAAAGGCATTCATTTCTGTCACAAGTAAGCTACAGCCACTCTTCATGTTCAATCCAAGTTCATTATTCATCGATTGAGAAGCTTACATTGCTGATTCAAAGAAGCTTTCCAAATATGTCTAGGACAAAACAGTCTGGAACCCTCGTCCGTGATTTTGAAACTCTGGCCCGAAGCGACGGTGCCATTGTGGGCGGAAAGAACTCATCTCTGGGAGAGATGATCACCGCTCTGAGCGGACAAGGAATTCCTGTGCCAAGGGGCTTTGCAACAACCTCCAACGCGTACTGGAAGTATGTCGACGCCAACGACATCCGCGGCAAAATGACGGCACTTGTTGCTGACTGGCAGCTTGGCAAGTCGGGCCTCGCCGAAACCGGTCAAGCAGTGCGAAAGCTGTTCCTCTATGGCACTTGGCCCGCCGACGTCCTGACTGCCATACGGGATAGCTATTACGAGCTCTCGGTTAAAGCAGGGTGCCGGGACCCAAGTGTCGCAGTTCGCTCCAGCGCAACGGCAGAAGATCTGCCGGACGCGAGCTTCGCGGGCCAGCAAGACTCGTACCTGAATATTTCAGGCTTCGACGATCTTCTCAATGCCTGTAGGCGATGCTACGCCTCGCTCTTTACAGATCGGGCGCTGAGTTATCGTCAAGCCAAGGGCTTCGACCACACAAGTATTGCGCTATCCATTGGGATACAGCTCATGGTTCGGTCAGATATTGGAGGGTCGGGCGTCATGTTCTCCATTGACACGGAGAGTGGTTTCGATAAAGTTGTGCTCATCAATGCAGCTTGGGGACTCGGTGAGAATGTCGTCCAGGGAACCGTGAACCCTGACGAATACCAGGTCTTCAAGCCGCTCTTGTCCAACCCCAAATTGGTCCCTATACTAGAAAAGAAGCCTGGCGATAAAGACATCAAGATGGTGTACGGCGATCGGCATGCCACCACTCGCAATGTGCCAACCTCCAAGGCAGAGCGAGCAACATTTGTGTTGAATGACGAGGAGATTATTCAGTTAGCCCGTTGGGCGGCTACCATCGAAACCCACTACGGCTGCCCAATGGATATGGAATGGGCCAAGGATGGCTTAACTGGTCGGCTGTTCATCGTTCAGGCTCGACCGGAAACAGTGCACTCGCGCCGCAGTGCCACGCAGTTCAAGACGTACAGGGTCAACCATAAGGGAAGAGTTCTGGCCACCGGCCTCTCCATCGGAGACTCGGCCATCACCGGTCGGCTCTGTCTCATATCTAGTCCAAAGGACATGGACAAGTTCGTCGACAACTCCATCCTGGTAACAACTGCAACAGACCCGGACTGGGTGCCGCTCATGAAACGTGCCGCAGCCATCATCTCGGATCATGGAGGGCGCACCTCACATGCCGCCATCGTGAGCCGGGAGTTGGGCATCCCCGCCATCGTGGGTACGGGCACTGGCACATACCACCTTCATAGCGGCCAGGATGTCACAGTCTCTTGCGCTGAGGGCGACAAAGGTTTCGTCTATGAAGGCATTTCGGACATATCCACCGAGGTAGTCGATCTCAAGCATCTCCCCCAAGTCCACACCAAGGTCATGCTCAACCTGGCCAACCCCGAGGCTGCCTACCGATGGTGGAGACTCCCTGCCGACGGGATCGGCCTTGCTCGTATGGAGTTTGTTGTAACCAACGCGATCCAGGTCCATCCCATGGCGCTTGTTCACCCAGAGCGAATCAAGGATGAGGCTGTCAGGCTGGAGATTGCAGCCATTGCATCTGCGTACAACCACAAGCCAGACTACTTTGTCGACAAGCTGGCACACGGCCTTGCGGCCCTTTGTGCCACGTTCTATCCCAAGCCGACCGTGATTCGCATGAGCGACTTCAAGACAAACGAATATGCCGGTCTCATTGGTGGCTCCGACTTTGAGCCCAAAGAAGAGAATCCCATGTTGGGCTTCCGCGGTGCCTCGCGTTACTACTCCCCCAATTATGAGGAGGGATTTGCCCTCGAGTGCCGCGCCGTGAAGCGATTGCGCGAAGAAATAGGCTTGACAAATGCAATCGTAATGATTCCCTTTTGCCGCAGAGTTAGCGAGGCCAAGAAGGTCTTGGAAGTCATGGCTAAGAACGGGCTCAAACGCGGCGAGAACGGGCTTCAAGTCTACGTCATGTGCGAGATCCCGTCCAACGTCATACTTGCGGCTGAATTCACCGAGTACTTTGATGGCTTCTCGATTGGCTCCAACGACCTCACACAGCTGACTCTCGGGGTTGATCGTGATTCTGGCGAGCTGGCTGACCTGTTTGACGAGCAGGATGAGGCTGTGAAGCGGATGATCTCACAAGTAATTTCAACAGCCCGCGAGAAGAATTCTAAGATTGGTATTTGTGGTCAGGCACCTAGTGACCATCCGGAATTCGCCCAGTTTCTTGTAAACGCCGGGATTGATTCAATCTCTGTTAGTCCTGACAGCTTTGTACAGGTGAAGAACAATGTAGTAGCTGCCGAGAAGAGCAGGGTGTGTGAATGAGTTCGAATTAAGAATCTCATATGGGAAATAATTGATACATTGATTTTATTCTTTTGTCTTATTACCTTGATACTATTAAAAAATGGCACACCGTTGCGGGATGGATTCAGTAACTGTGTGAGAGAATCAACCATCATCTTAGATTAGTGATTAGGTCCCAAAGGAACGAGATCGAATAGGCAAAAGTAGTTACTGACTATATATGCTTCGTTTTACTCTACATAGCAATGATGGGGTTGGTAAAGCCGTTAAAATGTTTACCTTTATGGACGAAAGCCTCACGACACGCTCTTTCAGAATTTCGAAACTCAATCAAAGACACAAGTACCTCAACTACTATTTGAACTAAATAAACATCTTCACCACAAAGAACATTCCAGCGTAACAATGAATTCCCCGTAAACTCAATTAAGCGTCCTGAAGAGTGCTGCTCTTGATGCTCACAAGGCGTCCCTTTAGCTCCCTGGCCGAATCACGAATTTGTGTGTTTTCTGCATCGTCCAAGGGCATATGAATCGTGCCTATAATTCCTTGTCTCCCAATCAGCGCAGACAGGCTGAAGGAGCAGCCAAACTCGGACTGGAAATGGCTCGGCGGGCGGACGTTTTTGGTTACTACCGGGGGGGGCCGGCCTGGGCCGGATCCGGGGTTACCGGACTAGCATGAAGGGCTGATGATCAAGGACACGTTACTTTGACAGCATGTATTTTCTGCTCGGCTATAGAAATATCGGTCAAGGCGCTTTAAGTTAAAGTTTACAGGGTAGCGTAGTTAATCAGGCCATCTGGTTAATCCACTGTTGGGCGTTCAAATGGTGGCCTGAGCCTTTAGACTTCTAAGTTTGCTTGTAACTAAGCTACACACGCCCCCAGTGCCCAGGTCCAGTACTCTGGGCTGAGAGTAGAGATTCTCCTAGACTAAATCACAATCCTTATGGATGGCCTCAAGACGTGCCTTCAGCTTCTTAGCTGAATTGTCAATCTTGGCCTTTTCCTCATCATTTAAGGGCATGTGAACGGTCCCGACAATTCCTTGCCTCCCAATGAGCGCAGGCAAACTGAAACAGCAGCCAAACTCTGGCTGATAATGGCTAAGTGGGCGGATGTTTCGCTTGTCCATGAGGATAGAAGTACAAGTACTGGCCACAACAGACGCAATGCCATATGGCGTCGAACCTTTGGTTCGCATGATGATCTCGGCTTTCTCTCGACACTCGTCTGAAATCTTGTCACATTCAAGGCTGCTGGGCAGCAGTGCCTTGGCTATGGGGCTGCCCCCAATCTTTGTCATTGACCATGCTGTAACTTGAGCTTCGCCGTGCACACCCAAAACGTAGACATCTATTGAACTGGCAGCGACCTGGTCCTCAATTAGCATGGAAGATCGTCCTCAGAAACACAAGGTTATACTCGCCTCCAATTGCCGAGCCACCAGACCGCGGAGCCTAATGGAGTCGAGGAAGGTTCCAGCACCCAGTACTTGATGCCTCGGAAGCCCTGATAGTTCTTGGGCAATTGATGTAAGCAAGTCGACAGGGTTTGCCACGATGAGCAGAATTGAGCTGGCTTTGAATGGGACCATTGACTTGATTATATTCGAAACCATTGAAACGTTCCTGGCCGTGTAGTCGATGCTGCATTGACCTGGCAACTGGGTCAGAAATGTTACAGAGAAAGTGCCAGATGGCATGGAAATCGTAATTCTTACCAAAGAAATGTCTAGAGCCAGCAGTGATGACTATAATGTCGCTCTGGGCCGCTTCCTCATATGTCGCTGCCTGTACGCGGGTGACTCCTTTCTGGCTGTAAGCTACATCTGAGAGGTCCTGTACCTGCGCGTCTCGGCGGTCAATATCGGAATCCACGAGCAGGACCTCGCTCGCGATCGAGGAAAGGACGATGGCGTTGGCAGCCGCACCGCCCACTTGGCCGACACCGATGATGGCAATCTTGGAGGTTGGCTTCATTTTTCTGGCTTCCAGGTAAGAACTGATTTGGGACCTCGGAATTTTGTGTTACTGTAGGCTCCCTAAGAGAAGTAATTCAATCCCCTCTCCAAGGTGTTTATAAGGAGTAGTCAAAGCCCTACATACATCATGTTAGTTAGTCGCATGGTACAAGTGGCTTCTGTCGGCTGATCCTTTCTCTATGCCTGGTATGCAGCTGGCCCGTATTTTCCCGAGCAATTTTCGATATACTTGGTCCCATGGGCATAGGGAAGTTAACTTGCGAAAGCTTCGATACACGCCATGCATCGCATTGCACCCCATACCTTTGCTAGTCATAAGTCTGGAATTACTAGCAAATCGGAAATCAGTGGCCTGTCAGGCCATCATTTAGCATGTTGGTGGGCCAGTGCCTTTACATGATGGGTTGTCCATAAAATGGAATCTCCTGACTGTCAAACTTACTTACTAGCAGGGAGGGCGGCCAGGCCAGATCTGGGGTTGCCGGACCAGCATGAAGGGCTGATGATACGGGGCACTTACTCTGACTGAACGCAGCATGTATCTTCTGCTCGGCTATAGAAGTATCTATTAAGGCTTTTTAAGTTAAGGTTTATAGGGCATCGTAGTTAATCAGGCCATCCTAGTAAATCAGGCCATCCGGCAATCCACGGGTTGGGCGCTCAAATGGTGGCTTGAGCCTCTAGACTTCTCTAGATGGTAGCTTGACGCCTTAAACATGAGGTCATTGATTTCTTGCAAGACCGTGACGTAACGAATAATCTGGACCCTTGATTGTCGCCGAATGTATCACAGTCTTCGATGTGGTATTATTAGTGATGGATCTTCGAGCACTTGGTGAACTCTTGGGTCGTTACAGACTGTCCGCGATAACGAAAAAAATGGATTCAACGTACTGTTCGTTGCACATGAGACGCAAGGCTCTTGTTGCCCAGACGGAACGCTCTTGTCATTTGGATCTCACTGTAAGTCCTCGGCTCACTCGGTTTTCAACTTGCCTTGATTTCTTCTTCTGATAGTGGGCAAACAGAAACTATGGTGCGGCATCTCCGCAACGGTCAAGGATGATTCCACGCTTGTTGTTGGTTTGGCCATTCGTGATATACTCTACCTAAGAGATTTCTATGAGGTGAAAGTCGTGATTGACAGTGGGTCTGGTCGCGATGCAGTCGCCAACCATCTCATCGAATTCCTGCGGCTATATGAGCGCGAAAACTTGGCAAAGTTCATCGGATGCGGTATCCCCAGTACGCTTATCGACCATATCGGCAATCTTTGCTCGCGCCTGTGGCTCGAACTTGATATTGTCCCCATAGTCATGCCGACCAAGAGCCTTCACCACGCCAGAGGTTGTTGGATGGCAAAGGCTGTTGATGAGCAGGCTGACTCGATGGCTCGGAAATGCATCGTGTAAGTCCCTGAATGCTGTCACCCGAAGTCGTCTAGCCTATGCTGATGCGCCGGCCGACAGATACTTTGGACCGTCCGCCGTGCCTAGACTTCAGGTAGGCTGGCATGGCGTTGTGCAGGTCTCAATCAGCGGCATGGCTCGCCTGGCCAGACTCCAAGACTACGAGGCCATCTCCTCGCGTGGGACTTGGGAGGCGATGGCATTTTACGCAGATAAGATGCGACAGAAAGGGACCAAGGTGGCATTCTTCAGCGCCACGCCCCACGCCGGCGGTGTTGCAACAGCGCGTCACGCCCTCGTCAGATTTTCCAACCTACTTAACTTGGCCATCACATGGCATGGTGCGTCTTCCCAACTCTACTAAATGAATTTTCATGTCACTTTATATTGCTGACGGTTGGCACTTACTGGGTTGTTGTGTACAGTTCCGAAGCCCCGGAAAGACGTCTTTCGCATTGCCAAAACCATTCAAAACATACTCAGAGGCGTCTCCAAACCTTATCGGTATATACTACCAGCAGATAGAGCTGCTATGCTCGATTGGACTGCCGAAAATGCCGAGCGGTACTGGCTCGTGGAAGGCGGGCCCCTTCGTCCACCAGCAGAGGGTGGCGCCGACATAGTCGTTGTAAGAATGGTTCCCGAGTCTCGGTTCTTCCGGCTGGAATTTCACCTGTAATGAACAAACAGCATGGTAACTTTTTATATTAGATCGATGACCCGCAGATTATGGGTTTAATACCCATTGCCAAAGCGGCCGCAAAAGATCGTCCGGTCTTATATCGCTCCCACATCCAGCTCCGGGCTGACCTCATTGAGAAGCTCGGTACTCCTCACAACGAGGGTTGGAATTTTGTCTGGGACTATGTAAAGGATTCCGACGCTTTCATAAGCCACCCTATCCCGGGGTCTATCCCCCCGTGGTGCCACGCGAAAAGGTTGCGTACTTGCCTACAACTAGCGATTGGTGAGTTCTTGGCGGTTATGCCTGTCCCCTTGGGTTGGCAGGTGATTCTGACAATGCCAAAAGGCTCGATGCCTTGAATAAGAATATTAGCCCGTGGGACACGGGATTCTACATGCACAGTTACAACGCCCAATGCTACAAATATGGCATGACAGAGCTGGAATGGCCTGCTCGTATGTCCTCTCTTTTCCACAACTAGTATCTACATCAGCTAAACAAATAGGCAAATACATCATCGAAATTGTGCCCTTTGACTATGCAGAAGGAGCATCAACCGTGATCAGCGCGTACGCCACTTTTCGCGACGTTATTAGCGAGACAACCTCAGTCAGCCCTCCCCAACTCGTGATGTAAGTTCTTCATGTCGAGCCTTAATCGTGGATGCTCAACTGAAACTCACAACGCTCGAAATTTAGCTGTGGCAATGGTTCTGTCGATGACCCCGACAGGAAATTCATTTACAAGGAGATTATGACCGATATAGATACAAAGTATCAATACCTCAAGCAGGATATCAGTGTGATGCCAGTGGAAGGAAGCGACCAGCTTTTTAACGTCCTCATCAGGAATGCTAATGTCGTGCTGCAGCTTTCCTCCTCTGAGGGTTCCGATGTTAAGGTGGCCGAGGCTCTACATGCCGGCCGTCCCGTTATTGCTTCACGTTCTAGCGGCACCTCGCTCCTAATTAAAGATGGAGCGAATGGGTTTCTGGTAGAGCCGGGGGATCAGGACGCTGCGGCAGGCTGTTTAGTGGGCCTTTTCACCGACAACAAGCTATACGAGAAGATTTCTGCTGCCGCTAAAACTGGACTGAGTGAGGAAGTCAGTAATGTCGGGGATGCGCTTGCCTGGTATTACTTGGCGTCTAAGTTTGCGGCGGATCCTGGCTTTAAGTGCAATGAGAGGTGGGTGAATGATATGGCGAGGGAAGAGGCCGGCAAGCCTTACGCACCAGAGGAGAATCGCTTACCTCGCTAGATAAAGAGTTAAAGAGGCTGTTTACGAGCCTTGAGGCTTGTATTTTCAGACCACCTTAGGCATGTAGTTGTAGTAGCTACCTTGTAACTAATAAAACTGTTGTATATCCACACTAGCTCGCTTATCCTTGATCAGAGTGCTTCCGCTTCTGCCACTGTGCAGCTACTATCCTCCGCCCTGTTCTCGACCTCTTTATCGCCTAGCGCCCTAATAGCTCGGCTCCTGGACCCTAGGATGGTGGTGATGGACTAAGGAGGTGAAATGAACCAATGCGCCAAAAATGCATTACTTACTAACAGTCCTGTCTCTTTAAAAACGATAGTAAGCGCTTGTTGGATCCTTGTCCTTTTGACACGGCAACTGATTTCTTCTGAGCATTGGCCGCTAAGAGCTGTTTTGGAGCGAGTGAAGAGCGGTGGCGAGCTATGTGTGGTCCGTACCGACGAGATTGTCCCTACATGCATTCCCCTCTTAACCAAATATCTACTATCCCAACTAACCCCTAGTATCTTAGGCTCAAGAGCTTTTTCTTCTTCTTTTTCTTCTTCTAGCATACAATTCATCTTCCTTTCCCACAGGCACTTCGCCTACGAGAAATGACTATACCGGTCGTGCTCATTCGGCAAGACACTCCTTGTCTAGAGAGTTCCTGACCTGGAACGTTGTCACGGCGATGCCGATCTTACTGCTATCTTCAGACGCATTAACGCTGGGCGCATTAACGCTGGGCGCATTGTGGGCCTCGGCCTCTTGGACCAGCTCGTCTTCTGAGTCATTGAGCTGGACCTGTGTTCCACCCAGAATGTTGGTTGTCCGACTACTCTGTGCGCGCCCCCCGGACTTCAAATTTCCTATAAGCGAAAGCTCGATGCGGCCACCGTAATTGTTGTAGTTAGGTCTGGAGGCTGCAGTGGGGAATTGATTCATCATCACTGATCGAAGGGCTATATGCATGTCAGTCTCTGTTGGCGTTCTCGGAAAGGGGTTGGCATTTGCGACGCACATGGTAGGCAGGCGGCGATGATTGCCACACTTTCTTCAACCATAGAAACGGTACATGTTAACATGGTCTCGTTGCGTTTGGAGAAATAAGCGCGGATAACTTTCATTTACTGTTAGCTATGGAAACTCAGCACTCGTGGTTGAGTTGCAACATACTACTCGCGATGACGACGAGGAAGCCGACAGCAAAGACGGCGCAGACGCTAATCTTTTTCTTTGTGTTCATCTGGAGCTGAAGTACCATGTAGATCGGTAAACTGAGAGCTGTTGATGGTCAATACGATCTGCACGCGGTAGCCACACTCAATGCCGTGTCGGCACTTACTAATAACATCTGTTCCAATGTTCACTGGGGTTTGGTTAATCCTTCTATTGCTGCCACGTGGTGACGGATAACGTACTTATAACTGTAATCCAGTAGTTTGTCTCTGCGTCTTCGGGGTTGCATTGGTCTAGGGGATCGATCATCAGTAAAGCTGGCAGGAGATACGACATTCGGACGAGACTCACACAGCGGGTCTTGAGACCATCGCTTGTCAAGCGGGTAGCACTGAAAGATGATGTGAAGGAAAATGACGAGATATGTAGCGACCAGCACTCCAAGAGTAACATTGTAGATGATCTGCAACTTCGTTCCGGGCGCCGCGATATGCTTGTAGAAGATGACCAAGGCGATTTTGATTGCCCACAGTGATGACACGTAGAGGATCGATCCGGGGATAATCATCTGCATGCTGTCAGGAAATTACGCGATCGCCCGAAACCGTCGTCCTCACCTTCGTGATCTCGATAACATTGTCCCGGCTCGCTTTAGGCATCTCAGCCATGCCCAAATTCCACATGTGCTGCTGAATGACTAAGTCGCCAACCAGACAACACGCCGACAAGATGATGAGGGCATCATCGAGTCTCAAGCTTCCTAGCTTTCGCAATCGGATGAACAGTCGGGAGATGACCGCGATACAGGCGACGATAGTACACGCGTACCACGAGACCTGCATCACATTATTAGTATTTGTCGACGGGGTTGTACCGCATTGGCGTAACAAGCTGCTCATACCACTTGACTGAAACCATCTGCCATCCCGTCTCCCCTAGATTTTAGTGCGCTGTTGCTACGCAAAGATTCTAATAGGTAGAATCAGCTACGGGATCTTTGCAGGCCTATTCTCCCCGTTTCGTGAACGTGGTGCGCTTCCCAGGTTGTCAGTCGCATAAATGGAACAACGAGCTCGCATAAGAGATCGTAGGGCAGCCGATCGTCAACAAATCTGTCAAGGTGCCAAATATACTCACTCTTCCCACTAGATCTATGGGAGTGCGAAGGAACTCTGGAGAAATCCGCATAACATGGCGGGTCGCCGCTTGTCTTTATGTGTGACGTATTAAACCACCGATGAACCAAAAGCAATTCTCCTACTAGCATGTCTGTTTTGCAAAAGGCAGTGAGATTGCTTACGGTAAGTCGAGTCCTCGCGTAAGTTTTACAAAGAGCCAACGGCATATTATTGCGAAAAAGGAAAAAGAACTTTATTGAACAGTTGAGAGTCGTCTGGAAGATACCGGGATTGGTTCAGGGAATGACACCTTCTGGCCATGGACAGAAAGCATTCCGGCAGCCATGCCTAACTGTCAGACGAAAACGGTGCTTCTGGCACCAACAACATCAATGATTCTCCAATCCGTGTTAGTTCACCCGTTCAGTCTAAGTTAGTCGAGACACAGCTGATCAGGGGTCTTCAGGTCAAGGTAGAGAATAGACGCCACGGTATCACCCTTGACGAGCTCAGTTACCGTGTTTTTCCTCATTTGGACTGGCACGAGTGAATTACGTGGCCTGGCAACTTAGTTGGTTCTGACATTGGAGAGGAAACGCATGGCATTTGATGCAGTAGTACCCTGCTGTTCCGCCGTCCCAAATGTACCGTGGAAACCGTCACTATCATCGTTCCCATCTGCATTATATTCAGGCGTGACAAAAGCGTTAACATATACTCATTCCTCAGTATGCTCCGTGGATTAGACACACAACCAAGCGTTGACATTCATCCACGATACGACGTTCCCGTGTTAGCACTAATCAAACAAGAGTTATTGCCGAGATCCGTCCTAGCTTATCGGTTCAGCTCAAGGCTTGCCTCCGATGCTGAAGTTTCGCCGAGTGACGTCCGCATTGCCTCCGAAGAGGCCGACTAGAGATGCTATTCAGTGGGGAATCAAAACATCGGGTCAAATCCTCCACACCCACATAATAACGTGGCATACGCTTTATAACCTCCTTCTGACGTATGAGAGTTCGAGTACAAGGTAAAAAACAGCAATGGAAGATACCAGACCCGACATCTCAACACCATATAACCCCTTTCCCAAGCGTGCTATATTGTGTGCCGACCATCGCGATGGCGTTGATAAAAGGAAATTAGCTCTGTGTAACAGGGTGTGCGATTTTAGTGTGCGATGTCTTTTGTCACCACCTGCTTGTCTGGGTTTGGGAAAGTGATGTACACCATGTTGGTTGGCTCCCGATATTGCAGCAGGGCCCCTTGCTCATGTTAATCTTCGTCCCCTTCCTAACAAGTGTTTGCATAAAGAGTGGGATACTATTAGTACCGAGAATTTCGCTTGCTCAATATATGTGATAGTGCCTACTCGACCACCACCTCCATTTTTACAATACTGCAACAACGATAGAAACAAGACAAGAGTCATAATGGGAGCCATAAGCCTATCCGTTAGGGTGACTGCAGGTCTAGTGCTAGCGTCGCTTCTGTCTCCTGTGGCGGCGACAGCAACTGGTGTCTGCTCCCAGTCTGCTCCCAAGGCAGTCATTCCTCAGGGGACCATCCAGGGATTCCACGACTCCAGCTGTAACTCTGTCTTCCTGGGAATTCCCTTCGCTGCTACCACGGGCGGACAAAATCGGTATGCTAAGATCTAGCTCTGACAACTATCTCCCTTCCAGCTAGTTACTGATTTTTGCAGATGGCGCGCTCCTCAACATCTTCCTGCCTCGACCGCCCTCTTCAAGGCTGAGGCGTATGGCCCAACATGCCCTCATGCCGTGACTGAAGAAGCATTCTCCAAACAGGATGAGGATTGTTTGAACCTCAACATCTGGGCGCCTTCCTCCAGCGAGAACCTGCCTGTAGGTATCTCACTGTGTTCCATTGATATGGTATCATATCCAGCTAACAATTGCAAAGGTGTTTGTGTACATGTATGGTGGTGCCATGGTCACGGGCTCGAACAGCAACCCTCAACTTCAGGGAAACAACTTTGCCCGCAATGGCGTCATCTACGTCAACTTCAACACCCGTGAAAGCATCTTCGCGTCACCTCACTCGTCCGAGCTCAAGGCTGCCCACCCATTCGAGAGTCAAAACTTCAGCATCCTGGATGTAGAGGAGGCCCTTCAGTGGGTCCGCAACAATATCAAGGGTTTGAATGCCGCTTCCGGTGATATGAAGCGTTTCGTTGCTAACGAACACTAGCTTTTGGTGGTGACCCTGACCACATCGTCTTTGGTGGTCACTCGTCTGGAAGTGTCCAGGTCGACCACTACCTCTGGAACCACCCCAAAACCTGGCTCAAAGGCGCTGTTATGATGAGCGCCAATGCTGTCTCCGGCCCAGCATATGCTCCTATCAACGAAGCTCTTGACGCCGTTTCCGCTGAGGTTGGATGCCCAACGGGTGGCAAGGGTCAGCTCGAGTGCCTGCGCAACATTGACTTCTTCAGCTTTGAGACTGCAAACTTCAACTCAACTTTCAACACCTGGTTCGCTCCGGTTGTTGATGACATCACCCGCTTCTCCGACTACGCTAATCGTTTCGCCAAAGGCCAGTACGCTTCTCACGTCCCCCTAATCACCGGTAACTCCGATGGCGAGGGTACCGTCTTCAGCCTCGTCTACGGTAGCGAGAACACAGACTTCAAGTCTTGGATCACGACCTTTGATGCCGACAGCGCCTTCCTCTCCAACTGCTCCCTCATTCACGCCTACAACCCAAAAGACTTCGCCTCCGAGTCCCTACGTAGCGGAGCTCAGTACGGAGACGCCCGCTTCAACTGCCCCGTCGACTACCTTGTCGATATGCGCAGTGAGAAGCAAGATACCTGGGTATACCGATTCTACGGAAAGTATGATAACGTCGTCGGCCTGCCCAACACCGCCCCCACCCACGGTACCGAGGTTCCCTTCTTCCACGGTGGCAATGAATGCTTTGAGTCTCTGGCTGGAGTCAATGCCGCTCAGCAGGCGCTGGCTGATTCCACTCACCAATGGTTTGTCAAGTGGATCAAGAACCCGGCTGCTGGTCCCGGTTGGGCGAAGGCATCTCCCAAATCTGGTGCCTTTGCCAAGCTCGGCGTTCCAGGGAACGAGTTGGCCATTACTGTGGGCAGCACGGATGAGTATAACCTACGCTGTCAGACCGTCCGTTTTCTCCATCCTTTTTTTTATCAATGTCTATCTAACTGGATTTCAGGTGTACAACCATAGGTTCCCCCATTACCCAGTTGTCCAGTCTATTCTGGGCTTGGCTAATAAACTGAATGCCTAGAGGGACAGTGAAATATAATTGTAGTTCCATTAAGACTTTACTACTAGCACGCCTACTACTATAGATTTGGCACGCTCTTTACTTAGCCTAACACCTTATGTCGCGGGCTAAGCATTGCGGCGTCCTAAGCCTCCGTTAGCGAACTAATAACCGCCATATATATATAAAGCTGATTTCATCATAATATGATGAAAGTAAACAAGACTCTTACTCCATCCAGTGGAGGGGTTTAATAATCGCAAGAATTGCCTCTAGTATGACAGCTTCAAGAGCGATATTTATGCTGGAACGCTTTAAGGCTTAGAGGAAAATAATGTTCTCTTTCATAGGATGCCGTCGCGATGTATAACAGGTGCCGACCGCCCTTTAGGTGCCTACCAAAAGGCTGGCTGGCAGGAAGATGTACAGGTGCAGCGAAATTGTTAATAGTGATACTTCCACTAGCTGCAGAGATCTTCTGGGGGCCTAATTAGGCCGCTTGCTGGTTTCTCCGTCAGCATCTATATTGTTCAGCTGCCAACCTTTATGACCAACAGACAGTTCTATCACATGATTCACATGAACTTAGTCAGCCCGATCATCAGCATACAGCCAACAGAATAATAATTGAAGCGGGGTTGTGTAGTAAATCCCAAAACTACCAGATTTCAGTGTGGTAGTTGCAAGACTGTCTCTCACGGGAGGAAGAGCTCCCTCCAAAGGAAAATATACGCCGGCAAGCCTGAAACGTGACCAATCATTCTTTTGAGGCCATTCACCTCCATTATGACCAGAACATTTGCAGTGAGTTGGACTCAGCTCCTGGTTCCTCTGTATCGGCCAATCTCTTACGTATACAGGATGCGGTGAAGGTGCTCCGTAGGCGCCAGGCAACGAAAGCTGCCGAGATGCCCATTTCTTATCTTTCCCAGGAATCACCATTTGTTCCTCATCTACAAGTTCAGGGGAAGCCGCATCTGGAGGGGATGGCGCAATGGTTGAGACAACTTGGTCACGAAGTAAGCAAGACTGAGAAATAGGAGAAGACTTACTAAGGTCAATACGTAGGATGCGGTGAATCGGCTCACGTTTATCCATGTTGCGGGAAGTAAAGGAAAGGGAAGTACTTGTGCATATATTGATTCATTACTTCGGGCGCATAGCAAAAGAACTGGCTATCCACGAAAGACCGGTCTGTATACCTCACCGCATCTTATAGATGAGACTGAAAGGATCCGTATCTCAGGCCACCCGATATCTCATGGTCTCTTTGCCAAATACGCCTGGGAAGTCATTGATGCTCTGTCTATGAACCCAGAGCAGATGCCATCGACAGATAACGGCCCGGGGTTTCTTCAGTCCATGTTCCTCATCTCACTCCACGCTTTTGTCGCAGAGAAGGTGGATGTGGCCGTCATTGAGGTTCATACTGGTGGCAGGTTCTGTGCAACTAATTTTATCCGGAATCCTGCTGTTACTGCAATTACAACTCTACTTCTAGATCACACCCCAGAACTTGGCAGCGATATTGAGAGTATTACTTGGCATAAGGCTGGAATTTTCAAAAGAGGAGCGTCTGCCATTTCTACAAACCAGGTGCCGGCGGCTATGAATGTATTAAAAGACGAAGCCAAGAAACAGCAAGTGAATTTGGAGTTTGTCGGTACTCTTGATAATCTGAGAAATGTCTCAGGTTTTAGCAGTGCCGTTCAACGACAGAACTTTTCTCTTGCTTGGCGAGCTTGCACAGCTCTTCTCTCGCCCCAAAGGCAGCATCTTGACGATGAGGATATTCATACTGCAGCTACGCAGGTGGACTGGCCTGGAAGGTTTCAGGTTCTATCCCGAAGGGGAGTTTCATGGTATCTGGATGTTGCTCATAGCGCCCCCTGCATTGATGAGCCCGTGAAATGGTTCAAAAAGTCATCTCAAACTCGGTATGTCTCGTCTAATTGGCATGGTCCCATCTACTAACTAGACTACAAGGGATAATATCACTCGTATAGTTGTGTTTGCACACATTGCAAACCCTCGCCGCCGAGACGGTGTCAAACTTCTAACCCAGCTCGTGCAAGCAATACAATGTATCAATATTGCCCCGGACTACTTCTTCCTCACAAAAGATAAGGCAGAAGATGTCTCAACACTACTAGAGAAATACAAGGCGATATGCGACGAGGTACTTTCAAGCCAGGTGGAAATCGAGCCCTCAGTACAAAACGTCCTTGATCGCATAGAAGCGATTAAGCAACAGAGTCGAGATGTACATGTTCTTGTGACTGGCAGTGTATTTCTAGTTGGCGATGTACTCAAACTCTTGGACTATCAGATTAAATAGGGAGCTTATGCAGGGCTGGATCATTCTCCGCCGCCTAATCTAATCCATCGATGAATACTAATCCCCAACAACTTCTTTCACTGGCATGAGAGTCGCAGACGTGGAACAAATAGACATTGTATTCATTCTCTTCGAAGAGAGAAAAGAATAGGGTTAGTGCTATAACTTAGCGGTATAAGTTGACAAATTAGTCTCGCCGACGCATGAGTGTTTTCAACATTGCTATTGACGTGGTGTTCAAGTAGCACATGGCAGCTTAGCTTCCTTGCAAATAGTTTTGGTACCCTTCAGGGCATCAACCTAGCTTATTGATCCCTAATCTTGAATAGGAAAGTAATCTATCATCATTTAGAAGCAAAAGATCCAAATCTAAACGCCAAAATGAACATACGGCACCCAATAAGGTGGCGTGTCCTCGCATAATTCGACATCCCTAACTTCCCTCGTCTTATATTGGCTCAATTGGCCATCTCTTTCTCCCACCCAAGTGTGTCGTAACCTTGGTGTTCGCCTCACACTGCGTACTGCATTTTCACCCATCCATGCGGAACGGAAGCTTCTGCATGCCTGATGAAGAGCCTCGCTGATAGGGTCATGGCTAATTCCATGATCTTTCACCCACTGATATACTTTCACCGCAATCTCTACACAAGACTCATCAGCCACCTCCCAAAGCGTACCAATGGCATGTTGGAAGCCAGCAAGCTGACATGCTGCTATTAGATGAAGTCCTTCATCTATGAGATCGTCATGACGCATTCTTCCGGTACCACATGCTGAGAGGCTGGCGAGAAATGGCCTCCGACTTCGGAGATTTAATTTGAAAATGTCTGCCACGGCAAGGCATCCATCGGTCAAAATCATGGCGCTTTACAAAGGATCCGAATTGTCCGTCTGTCCGTGGCCAGCGAAATGAAATATGGAACACTCCTCGAGGGCCGGAAGAACCTCATCCTGAAAGGGACGTGGTTTGGCAACCTGGAGTTGCATAGACGTGCACAAGGTCTCACTCAATTGATTAAATGCGGAAGGCCCCAACCAAACACCAAACACACGTCAATTATTTGTGGTTGCTGATTTTGACTATGCAGCTTCGTTACAATTCCTCCCTTTTAACTAGCGTCGACATCACGATCACCGACCCTTCACAGCGGTTGTGGTGTTGTTGGTGGAAAACCCCACTGGCATTCACTATATATACCCCATTAAAACGTGCACGTTCAGCAAGCTCATACGGCCTGATGGTCTAGTGGTATGATTGTCGCTTCGGGTGTTAAAATCCATTTCTGTGAAAGAAGTTGTGACAGGTCCCGGGTTCGAATCCCGGTTAGGCCCATCAATTTTTTATCTTTATTATAATTCTACTACATCTTTTTATACCTTTTTTTTCTTATATCTTCTTTTTTCTAATCTTAAACTATTATTAATATTATAATAGAATAAGAACTATTCTTTGAAGGCTGCTTGGCTACACCTTAACCCGTTTGTTAGCTTCCTCTCCACCTTCAACCCATTCATATACCATGTCCACCCGCATCGCATACTTTACGCCTCTCTCAACCACTGTTCCTTCATGAAGAAGCCCTCGCTGTTGGAAAATGAGTACACTGCCGGCTCTAGGATCTACGTCAACCCTTCTTTCTCTGTCTTGGGATAAAAATGAGGTGACGCCTCCTCTTAAAGACTCTCTCCCACCCCGTTCGGTAGTAGAGTCGCTGAGATACAGCATCGCTGTATAATGGGTTTGAAACTCTGCGCGTTTACATCTGTACCAGATTGGATTGTCGCAGTGTGCTATTCCATTTGTTAACCGAAAACAGTATGTTGGGGGGGAGTTCAAGACAGTCATGTGCTCACGCTTAAAGAACTGGCCGGGCTCATACCGGAGGAACCGCATATGTTGGTTCAAACGACGAAACTCCCACTTTTGACCGTCGAAGCTGCCTTCGGGGACTACCTCAGCCAACAACTCTCTTAGTCCAGGAGCCTGTGTACAGCGGTCCCATATGCGGTCCACTATGCTTTGTTGGTCCCATTCGATCCGATCACAGTGTCGATAATCTCGCACCGTAGCCTGGATACCTTGACCGATTGTTATTGTAGCAGGCTTCCACGGCATTTCGTCCTCTTTTGTATTTGTGACGCTCGCTTCCGCCAAAGAGATGAGCTGTTCGCACTCTGCCTTGGAGAGAATGCTGTCGATGGTGAGGGCAAGGCATTCGGCATTCTCGGGTACAGCAGATGATGCGAAGTCGATGTGATTAATCTTGAGAGGCTTTGGAGGGGGAGATGCAAGAAATTCGTCAGGTATAGGTCCGGGACGAGATCTCTGCTTGCGAGGTTCCAGATTTTGAGCCACCATGCTGGAAGGTTCAGATTAGAACCAAGGTAATTGGACTCGACAAGATTGAGATGAAAAGAATTCAAAGGGGAAGTCCCTTTGGAAACTTCTATCCTCTTCCTTTTATACCATTGCAAGACAGGCTTACGTCCATCTTGTCATTCTCAGGAGTCAGAAGTGCTATGTGGATACAGTGGATGCTTCGCCACGATTCACACACACGAGCCTCGCCCAGCTTTACCTCTCCCTCAAACAGCATCAATCCTCCCCAAAGAGAATGGAGGCTACCATATTTTTTTACCAAAATTAAATTCCATGCAATCAATTTACGGCAGGCGTCGCCTAAATCACTCTATCGATGTCTTGGTTTTTGCCACCCAGGTAAGCATCACGATCGGCATCACACGACTACGTAGCGGACACACTACCTTGATATCCTCTCTCAGGAAGATACAAAACTATTCGGTTTTGATATGAAAACGCATTATTTCTTATTTGCAATCAGATGCATGGAAGGAACTTGTGTCTTTTCTTTTCCCTGCTTTCTTCCCCCTTCCGTTCTAAGCAATTGTGTTGTCTAGCACAATTTTGGGATGGGAAGTCGAGCTTTAGAAGCGCATCAGATAAGACGCCACTGAAAATGACGAGGAACTCTTGCACATCTATGTTTTAAGCCTTATTTAAACAGGAACAACCCTCTAATCACATGATAGTTCATATGATCGAATGCCTGATCCGCGTACTTCATTTCATGAATAGAAGATAGAAGCCGACCTTTGGCTGCCCTGGCGTTCCGACATATTAAACTGAAATCAATCCACGGATTGATGGGAAATTCTAGATGTATTATTACTTCAAATTAGAGCAAGCGTCTTGCTGAAGAATGATGACTACGTGATATAGACTAAAGTACTCAAGATTGCCGCCGGAAAATCTATTAGACTCAAAGCCGATTTCAACGTGCAACCAGCTACTAAGTTTAGCCCAATAGATGGGGCCAAATATAATCCAACAGAAATGACACTCGTACAGGAAGTCACTACCTTCTCTAGTGATATTTGATGTTTACGACCCCATCCGGCCTAGCTGAGGATCGGCACATAGTGTATAATCTCGTGGGATAACCTTCCCATAGGCTAGTACAGAAACTATGAGCCCTCCATTTGGGATACTATATAATCTAGTTCCGAAATAGGGGTGGGTTCCCCGACTCATAAGCTGTGACTGAGCTGCCCGAGGTATGGTACCACTGGGCCGAAGATGGGCGGCAGATTGCTGATACGATCAGACCAGTTACATTGAGCTGATAGAAATAAGAGATGCCTGCATATTCACGACGTTACACAGTGAATATTGAGCATGGCTCGAGACTTCTGGTGCCCTGCCACAACGCACTACAGATGGCACACTCTTGGCCCAATCTTTCACCGAAATCAACGAGTCCTCTAGATGTCCATCAGCACCTGCAGGTTTGCCTGATGCTCTGCTAATGCGAACCATTTTCTTGCATGCTGAGCCCCCACTGATGCGCACGAGGGTGTACTGGGTGGCCAGCCCATTCGCTTCGACCACCTTGGGTGCGGGGTGAATGCATACAACAGCCTGTATCACACTGCAAGAGATGGGGGCAGTGACTGAGGCAGGCGGAATTGGCTCAAGAATAATGCTATGCTACGGCCATGCGCCACGACTTGGGCCTCAATGCTTCTTCCCAGTGGTGGTGGGATGGAAGTTTCTAGACATCATGTCACTCTTGATGTGGGATGATATGTATTCTATCCCCGTCCTCCCGGGTTGCTCTGTTCCCAAATTCCCCAGGGGGCATATTCTTTCTCGGCATTTATGTTGGCATTTCCTCGAGAAATCATTCAGTTAGCACCCCCTCGATAAAATATTCAGTCCAGGGACGACTTTTAGCGCTGTGAAGATGGAAGTCGTCCTATGCTTCGCTGGCGTCATACATTTGGCGAAGAAGTTGACAAGAAAATTCCACGAGGTTAAGATCAATGCTAGCGTATTTGAGCTCGAAATCACCATCAGCTGTAACAACCTTGTTCAAACTGCCAATTCGCTCAATACCGCTAACAAGAACCTTGGGACTCTTTGCTCCGAGCATATCGAGTCATCCATATGCAAGCACATGAAGAAGCAACTGCCACTCCTCGAGGAAGGACGGCAAGGCATTTGGGACATGCTAAAATGGCTTAGCCGTCAGGCCCAAAGTTTTAAGGGTTCGTGGGGGTTCGTGGTTATGTGGAAGTGGAAAAACTTGAAGCCTTTTTTCGACTGGCTGGGGGCTCAAATGCAATTCATGTTGCTTAACATACTTGTTATCAACAGTACCGTCGAGTTAAACATGGTGGCAGAATACTTGACCGCTCATGGCATTGACAGTTCTCCCTGCTCAAGTCGTTTGTATGTTCGAGATGATCACCCACCTGTCGTACAGCCTTTACTGATCAGAGCTAGCAAAACACTCAACAGAAGCATTAAAGACTACAGGAGGCAGATCGAGAAGCTGCAGGAGGCCCAACAACTAAGGGAAGGTCAGCTCCCCCTGATGACAAAAATACTATCTATTTCGCAGAAATACACGCGAGACTCGATGGACATGCTCCGGACATTGAAGAAAACATATTCACCACCAGCTGCGGTTTTTCAAATGCTTGGATCCCCCACCACCTCGACATCTACGGCCACTTCTCCCCCCACTTCTTCAACCGGCTCCTCTTCCACCTCTTCCTCCGCCTCTCCTCCTCTGCGTTCCTCTTCAAAGTCTTCGCCGGCAGATCAGATTCGAGTGCACAGCCCTTCTCCAAGAACTCGCAGCCGACAGGACGGGTTCGACCTCACTAGTGACCTTCAGCCCAGATCGCCTTCACGCGTGACAAGAACTCGCAGCCGACCGGGCAGGTTCATCTTCATTAGTAATGAACAGCCCACGTCGCCTTCACACGCGACCGCCGCACGACCGCAGAATCCCGTGCAAGAGCAGCAAGAACCTACTCTCATTATCGACTCAAGACATAACGAAGACGTATCCAGCCATTACTTAAAACCCAGGGACCCTATTAGGCCAACAAGGAGCGTGCTATCCCAGATCAACATCCGCATTCCCATCAACATCATCTCTGTCTACAAAGCACTAGAACTAGATCTTCCTATCGAGGATTTGGAATCGGGAGACCCTCAGAAGGTGCGGTACATTTCCTCTAAGCATCGCGCAACCAATTGGAAGATTGTGGGCAAAACGCTAGATGTCAAGATCTACTCGGATTCCAACGCTCACTCCAAACCAAAGACGCTCTCGCTCTTCGTCGTTGGCGCCCTCCTGGATCCGCCCATCATACTCGGTCAGCCGTTCTTGAAACAGAGCAAGCGGTACTCCAGAAACGAATAACATCCTCACTGGGTTGGAAGAAACACAATTCAAGATGGCCATTATTTCATATTGTAGGACAAGATATGTAGCTATTCTATAAGCGTCCCGTTAATGCATTTCCAGCCAATCCCCTTGGCCAAAGTGAAGAAAAAAAAGACGAGTCGCTCCCAAAACCCCCATTACAATCAATACAAAATGCCCAAAAAGGTCTGGTATCTCCTAACCTGATGTCAAACAAAAGAAAAACCCATCAATAACTCCCAGGGCCCCGACTTGGAGCCCCAATTACCACCCGCTCATTGTTCTAAGTCTCGGTGTTGCTCTCCCTTCCTTTTCTTCGTTCCGTCGTTTCTGATCTATGTTGTTGTTGTTGTTGTTCTTTGTTGGTGTTTCATCTATTGCATAACGGCAAAGTCCCAGCCCGGCCGCCGGCTCTCCGACTTGGTCAGGTTGCGCTTCAGGTAGCAGCGGTGGTTGTCGCCCTTGTCGCCCTCGAGGGCGCCCCAGCTGCAGGCCTCGCAGCGGGGGAAGCCGGCGCAGTTGGTCATGCAGTCGACCATGGAGGCGGTCCAGACAGTCGTGAGATCCTCGGCGCCGTCGCCGTCAGCGTAATCGACGCCGCAGAGGCGGAGGAAGGACTTGTCTGAGTTGGGGACGTCGAAGACGGTGTTGTTGGCGGCGGGGCAGGCGGATGAGGAAGTGGTCGGTTTGGCAGATGAGGAGGTTGATGTTGATGTTGTTGATGTGGGCGAGGTTGAAGTTGTTGCCGTCGGCGAGGTTTGAGCACTGGTCAAAGCGTTAACATGAATGTATTGAAGCGATGGGAGAGAGGGGGGAGATCATACTCTGAGCCTGAACTCTTGTTCTTATTTGATCCGACTCCTACACCGACACCAACGCCGACTGCGACGGCGACAACAATGAGCACTAGGAGACCAACTGCAATCAAGAAAGTGCGCCTCTTGTATCCGAGAATCTCTCTGGGCGGTAGCGGCGCAGGCGGCGCGATATGGTCGTACTGGTAGTCGTACGTCTGGTCCAGCTTCGCCGTTGGTTTTACGTGGTACCCAAGATCGGCGGTACCAATGGAATTGCCACCATTGGATCGAAAATCAGAGGTCGCGGACCGGAAGTCAGAGGCAGACGGCGAAGGCGGCGGCGTGTCCTCATTGTAGAAGGTCGAGTTCGGGGCGCCTTTGCTCCGTCGCTTGTCGCCTATGCTGCTGCCGCCGTCGGACCACAGCATGGCGGCTTTGGGTTTCTGGACGGTGGAGGACGAACTGACGCTCGGTCTGGGCGCGGACGATCGTTTCGAATGTGTCGTGGATGTGGAGGGTTTGTGGTACAGGTGAGCGGGCTGTAAGTTGACGTCTCGCAGCCGGCCGAGCGTGTCGCTGGCTTCGGACTGCTGGTCCATAGCGGGATACGATGGCGGCTGCATCGCGTGTGTCGGCATCGTGTGTGTCGGTCTCAATCGCCTCTCGTTCTTCTCTTGACCAGCCGGTATGGAGAAGAGAGCAGCGCCGCAGCGCGCAGTCAGGCGAAGGAGACTGTGATGGGCACCAATACCCTCCCAGGCCGACGTGTGCCCCTCGTTCGTCGCTGGTTGTGAAGTTGTGCAATGAGGCGAATTGGTCGATGTGCAGTATGTAGATTCGTGTAACGGCAGAGAAGAAGCGAGTGTGGGATGGATGTCGCGAAAGGGCGAGAGAGAGCGCCGGATGTGCTCCCCTGCTGGCCGTGTGCGCGCTAGACCAGGATATCCAAGCTAGATGTCATTGATAGCGTTCTAGGGCACACACACAGGGTTGGTATTGCCCGTGACTCGCACGCTGCTGGTCTCTGGGCAGTCGGTTCGCGTATGGGCTCTCGACCAGGCCTGTGTTCGTGAGACGGTGAGCGCTGGCGACCGGACCTCAGCGGTGATGTGATCAAATCACTTGCAGCGTGACCCATTGCAATGGATGGACAGATGGAGTGGCAGCATGGGATGGATGGACGGATGGATCCTGGATGGGACGATGAGCCCCTCACCCCCCTGGTCGTAATTTGTTATTTATATTGCGCTACGGCTGGTGAACTCCTGCCAAGCAAGGAATGGGACCAGGCTAATTATCCAGCAGGCAGCGTGCCTTCAATGCGACACTATTTCCAGTCCGGTCCATCCGCTGGCATCGTTTGCTACTTGGCATAAAAGGGCTTTGCGGGAGACGGGCAACATGCGAGCTCTTCACTGATCCATAGTCCCTCTCTGATCACCTCCGTGCATCCAGCCTGACTCCGATCCGAGTCTCCATCCCCTGCCTGGAAGGGCCAATGCTGAGTGTCTCAGACTGATGCTTGTGTCTGCACGTTGCTGCCACGCGGGAATGACTAGCGTTGCCCGTGGAAATGAACCCTATTTGGCCTCCTGCGGTAGCGCAACCACCCCGGCTGCTCTCCTGTTACTTAAGCGGCCGTTGGTGACATAGTGCTTGGCTGCCCGGTGGCCATGATGTACGAGTCGTGCATAGTATGTAGTTGAAACGGCGTAGACGGACCTCTTGCGTGGCTGCCATCATTATTATTACATCACCATCACATCAGAGACCAAAGGACTGCCCTCAGCCTCCGAATGCCTCCTTCCGGCTCCATGATGCTCGCGAGCGGGTGGGTGAAACCCCCTCAGTGGAAAACGTAAGACACAAGGCGCCGCAGACCAGCCTCCACCCTCCACCACCTCCTGCACGGCGATGAGTCGCACCAAGACAGCCAGTGTGCCATAGGCTCTGCCGTCTCCGCGGCCCAGCATCATGCGCCTCTTCTAACTCGTTCCGAAGTAGCGAGAGGGGGGAGACGGGAGAAGGTTCTGCGGATGAAGAAAAACAGCGCCGGCTGAGCCCCTGTCCGGTCACCGTTGCAACGGGCGACGGATGGGCACATTGCAACGCTGTGTCGCCATCCAAGGTGAAGGATTTGCACTATCCATGGCCACCGTGGATTTATTCATCCTCCCGTGAGCACACGTGTCTGACATGCCCAAAGAATCTAGCGAAAAGGAAAAGGCCTCCTCCCACCAGACATCTTTCCGGAATTGAGAATCCTTTGATTGATATATTAGAATCCTCTCCCCGAAAGGAGAAGCTGGCGCAGAACATGCACCGTGGGGTTTGGGTGCTGCTCGCCTGCATACAAGGGGTATCCCTGCATATTTCCCATCACACCGTCGCTGTCCTGTAAGTCGCTTTGTCCAGGATCCAGAGGTGGAAGGTGGCTTGGTTAATGGCTAGGCAGTTCCCATGATTCCGCTGCTCAGCCGAGAAGGAATACGACCACCCGCCTGTGTAGACCGTTGGTTGTCCCAATGCAGAAGCAACCTGCATTGGCCAGTATGCAAGTCAAGTCGCATTCATCATGCGCTTGAGCAGCAGGGCAGCAGCCGGTGCATATCGAAAACGCTTTGGGTTACGCATTTGACCTGCATTGACTAGCCGGTCAGCTGTCATGGTAGCTCTGCCTCCTTTTGAGTCTAATGTACGAGCACAAACGGTTGAAACAACGTCTTCTACTCACTACTGCACAGGGTGTTTTACCAATTGATGATCCCTACTAATTCATCATACTGTCGCCAATCCGTCGCCTTTTCAAGCAAGATCCATCCGTACCTTATTCAGTGAACCCTCCTCTGACATCACAGACAAGGGACCTGATGCTAGATCGACGATCCGTGCCTCTTTGTACATCCGTGCCTCCATCATATGCGCATCCCTTCAGCGACTGACCATGCTTGCCATGTTGACATGGTAGCAGTTTGACGGCATTAAAATAGTAGCCTATTATGATCTTCGGTTGTTCGCCGATTATGGGAAAGGCTACATATATCATCACTCGTAGCTGTAGCTTACCATTACATGCCTCGTAGATCTTTCGGATGAGAAACAGGTGGTCAACGCTCGCGGATGATGTCAGCATCCGGCATTTTTTTCTTCATTGAAGACGATCCCTCTCAATCGTCTCCATCTGCACCTCTGTCCATAGGAAGACCTATGTAGTGATCTTCAATTTAATTCTCGGTACATCAAAAAGCTGAGAAGAGCTGCAAAGTAACGGAGTAGCTCGCGGAGAGGCAAAAATACTCGAATCCTGATTAGCATTGAGCAGGCACCTTGGAAAGTAGACAGTTCGTGCAGAAAATGAACCCATCAGACCTAACTAGACGAAATATCCACTGTGCGAGTTGCGATAGAGGGGATGTCTGATGACTATAGGGTAGGCAATTCATTGAAACCATCTTGAAATGTAAGACGGAAGACAAAAATCGGGACCTTTCTACGACATCAGAGAGACTAAGCTCATACAACAGATTGAAAGTCATGTAGATCACACAATAAATGAGCTAATATTCGATTTCGGTTTCTTAAGAACTTGGAAGGGTTTAGAAAATGACCTTGGAAAGCTGAGAGCGATAGAATAGAGGCCACCGAAGACTAATGGCTCCACATGGCGGGACTTAACCGTTCACGATCTCGCAAATCGTTGCAGAAGACTTCATCTTTCTGGACTTGTTCAAATTCGCGGGAGTTCGACTATGAATACTTAGAATGTAGGTTTGCGATAATGTAGTTACGAAACCTTTGAGTGACGATATTGGATTCGTGTATTGAACGTGCGTCGCATTTGACTACAGAAGCTTAGTTGCCTATCTTCAAAATCATAACAACGCCCTGGAGGCTCACAATGAGCAGTGCTGCCTACGGGGGACTGCGGTTTATGCAGGTGTAACATCATAGGTCCAATGAGAACGAAGGTCAACCTTCCAATCAAATGTTTATGAAGAAGAGCTGACTAAGAGGTACATAAGGCAGCCCAACCTGCCCAACGCAACCCAAAAAGTCTTTCCTCCTGTCATCATTCAAAATTAGCTTGAAAGTTGTGTGATACTTCTCTCAGTATACCTACCACCGTACCTACGGATTTGCCTTAGTAAGGTTGTCCATTTTTACTGAGTACCATCAAAAAGATTTCAGCCAACGATGAAGACGTCATTGCTCGAATTAGACCCATACGGGGACACGATACTCGTATTGCAATGCCCGAATATACAGAGGGGAGAAGAAATACCAAGGAAACTGCGGGGCAAGAAAATAAGAGACGCTGTTCTCATCCCTACTGACGAACCGGAGCCCGTTGCGAAAAAGCTAGGCAAGAAAAAAAAGTCGGAGAAGAAGAAGATAAAGTTGGAGAAGAAGAAGAAGAAAAGAGAGCAGAGGGTTGCTCTCATCCATGCTGTTGGGCCTGAGGCTGCTGCTGAGCCCGAACTTGCTGCTGAACCTGAAGCTGCTCCTGAACTCGAAGCTGCTGCTGAGCTCGAACCTGCCATCGAAACTGAACCTGCTATCGAAACCGAACTTGCTATCGAAACCGAACCTGCCATCGAAACCGAACCTGCTATCGAAACCGAACCTATCATCGAACCTGAACCTGCTATCGAAACTGAACCTGCTATCGAAACTGAACCTGCTATCGAAACCGAACTTGCTATCGAAACCGAACCTGCCATCGAACCCGAACCTGCCATCGAACCCGAACCTGCCATCGAACCCGAACCTGCCATCGAACCCGAACCTGCCCTTGAGCCTGAACCTGCCCTTGAGCCTGAAAATGATGGAGAACCTGTTCGACCTGAGCCTGCTGTTGGCAATGAACCTGCAGATGAGAGCGAACTCACAGCGAGACCTGGAGGTGACATCCTAGAGATCGTTGCAGAGCCTGAGCCTGAGCCTGACGCCATGGTCGAACCAAGCGCAGACATAGTGACGGATATATGTGCTCTGCGAGAGCTTAATCCCTGGGATCAGTTCGGAGAACCTACGGAAATTCGATTACGAGTGTCTTCAGCTCACTTACGTCTTGTTTCGCCTGTATTTCGATTAATGTTCCGGGGCCCATTTCAAAAACCGACGATCCGTCGAGATGGATGCTACGAGATTAGAGCATCTGAGTGGGACGTCGAGGCCCTTCTTGTCGTTTTAGACATTATACATGGCCACAACCGACATGTGCCGAGGAACGTCAGCCTAGAGTTGCTGGCGAAGATTACGACTATTGTGGATTATTATGACTGTCAAGAGTCAGTAGACCCATATATCGACATTTGGGTCCCGCGATTGAAATTTGACTTGCCTAGCTCTTATGGTGAGACAGTCCCAGTCTGGCTTTGCATTTCATGGGTGTTTCGACAACCGGGAATTCTCGAGAGAATGGTAGAGCTGGCCGTGATGCAACTTCAGGACCCGCTGGTGATGACAGGGCTTCCCCTTCCCCAAGCGATAATAGGTACGTAATAGCTTGTTACGATATATTGTATAATTCTCACTAAAAGGAAAAAAAAAACACTAGATGTGATCAACGAGAAAAGAATGCAATCTCTCAAGAAAATGTTTCAATATCTCCAAGATTTGCAGCAAACTTTGGCAACTGAACCCGGGTGCCATAATGATTGCCAGTCTGCAATGCTTGGATCTTTGATAAGGCATCAACACAGAACGGGCATAATCGAACCACAGCTTAATGCACCTTATCGTGGGTTCAGTGTCAATGGACTGTACGAAACGATGAGAACGTTTACTGGATCGTCCATAGGAGGAGGGAGACATTCAGGCTTCGGTTATAGTTATTGCTCATGCAGACTTGAGGATAGAATGAAGCCTGGCTTGGATAAAATAGTGCAATCGGAAAAGGGTATAAAGGGGAAGGAGTTGTTGGGTGAGCATTGAAAAACATGATTGAAAAACGCTATAACGTAATCCATAAGCGAGCGGGCTATATAAGTAAGTAAGCTACTTCTATCTATCCCTTATATAATAACCTTAATTAAAATAATAATAACTAATTATCTATAATAATAATACTAGAAATTAATTTATTAAATTCCTCCTTAGCCTCTTTATAGGTTTAGATATTATAATTAGGCTTTCTATAATTACTATATTATAAAGTCTTTATATAAGCCTACCCTCCCTAACTACTACTTTTATAGTTTTCTCCTTTTAGCTACTTATTTATATCCTTCTAATTTAATAAATCTATTCTATCCTATATAGTTAGAGATCTTTTAAGCTATATATAGCTTTTTTTTAGCTCTTTAGTACTTACTTAATACCTTATTTACTATATAAAGATCCTAGACCTTAGTATATAAAAGAGCTACTTAGTATATTACTATAATTACCCCCTTTATAAATTAATTTATTATAGCTAGTATAGAGGTTAAAGAGCTATTTTAATAAGCTAAGATTTAGAATTTAATATACTTAGATTATATACTAGCCTTATATATAGTCTATAGTATCTTTAAAACCTAAGGCTACTTTATTTTAGGTAAGGTCTTTAATAGTATTAGTATTTATAGTATTATATTTCGCTTTAAAAGAACCCTCTTTAGGTTATATAGTATAAAGCTAGATTTAATAAAGCCTATCTAGATATTCTTCTTTATAAAGTAATAAAAAAAAGCTATATAAAAGGAAGAGAGAAACTTAAGCTTATTAATATAGGTAATATATATTTATATTAACTTCTTAATCTCTCTTCTATATAACTACTTTAGTAGTTTAAAGTAGTTAATATTTAATAGTTAAAGAAGGTAAAAGGAGTAAAAAGGTATATAGATTATAATAATCTTATACTTTTAATAATAAATTTTAAAGTTAGCTAAATAATAGCTCTTATTATTAAGATTTACCTTATAGACTATAGAGTAAATTAAGTTACCTTATATTAGTTAATTAAATAATCTTAGATTAATATAGGGTAAAAAGGAATAAAATAACTAACTTAAGGTTTTCTAAAGCTAAAAGCCTTTTAAAGTTACTAGCTTAACTTACTATAACTATCTCTTAAGATAATTATATTAATAATTATAATTACTATAAATATTACTATAATATTTATATTAATAATCCTTATATTTACTATAATATATATATTAATAATCCTTATATTTATTATAGTATATATATTAATAATCCTTATATTTACTATAGTATATATATTAATAATCCTTATATTTATTATAATATATATATTAATAATCTTTATATCTACTATAGTAGAGACTTGAGTGTGTTAGAGCGATGAAGGCAGCGATATATAAAGCGGCGAAGGTAGTGATGTGTTATAGTTAAATTATCTATAAGCAGCGATTGCGGATGGATTATTGATTATAGGTGGACTTAAGCTATGTAATTCTATTAGGTGTGTTCGTAGTGGTATGTACCTTATCTTTCTACTAAGTAAAAGGACTAGGCTAAGGATAATAGCCTTTAAATAGATAGAAAGTAGTATTTTAAGGTTTATAAAAGGAGTTATATTAATAAAAGACTTATATTTAAGGTATAAGCTATTATTAGTATTAAACCTTATATATAGCTAGATATAAGCTTTATAGCTAGGTAAAAAGGCTAAAGGTTAATATATTATAATACTAGATATAATATTAAGTTATTTAATTCTTAATATTTAGGAATTTCCCTTTTTTTTTAGTAATTACTATATAACTATATAGCTCTCTTACTTATTATTATATTTACTATAGTACTTATATTAATAAACTTTATATTTATTATATAAAAAACCTTAATATTTAATTAATAAACCTTATAATTATTATAATAATTATATTAATAAACCTTATATTTATTATAATATTTATATTAATAATTTTATATCTCTTTATATAAGAACTTTATAATAATTATAAGCTTATATTATAAAAAGTAATATATTATCTTTAATATTTTTAAAACTTTAAAATACTTATAAATATAGAGCTTTCTCTTTATTAAATAAAAATTCTTTAAATTAATAATTTACTTTTTTATTTATTTTATAGTTTATCTTCTTAATTACCTTATAATTAATAAAGCTTTTCTTTCTTATTTAAAGCTTACTTTTTTTATTATATTTTTTAAATTAATCTCTTTAATATTCTTTAGCTTACCCTATAAGTTAAGCTTACCTTAGATCTAGCTTACTTTATAATTAGTTTACCTTATACTAAAGTCTTTAACCTTTTAAAAGGTTATAAGCTTAATTAAAGCTTTATCTTATAAAAAATAGCTCTTTCTCTAAATTTAAGAGTATTTACTTTATATTAAGAAAGTCTTAACTTATTTTATATTTTAGCCTAAGTCTTAATAGCTTTTTTTACTAAAAAAGACCTAAAATAGTTAATAAAGATAGTTATATAAAGGGATTAGCCTTTAAAGGTATTAAAACCTATCTCTTTTTAGTAGTTAATCTAATAGCTAGTATTATTATTATACTTAACTTATTAATTAACTTTAATATTATTAATATTATTCCTTTAAGCTCTATAATAAATAATATTATTATTACTTAAGGCCTTTAGAACTTAAATATTATTAAAGCTATCTCTATTATATAATAAACCCTTTAATAATTAATAACTACTATAAACCTACTATAGTTATAATAGACCCTTAGTATTATTAATATTAGTTAATTAGCTTTTAATATTATTAATACCTCTTAATAATTTATTTTATAGAGCTTTTAAAGCTTTAACCCTTTAACTAAAGTCTTTAAAAACTTTATTATTAAGGATTTTAATAAAAAGGTTTATAAGTTCCTTAAAGCCTTTAAATTATAAAGGCCTTATAACTTTAATTAATAGAAATAAGCTTTAGAGATTTAATTTAAAGCCCTTAGATTATTATTATTTATAGTAGACCTTATTATAGCTTAATAGCTATTAGACTTAAATTAGATTATCTTACTTATATTATTAAAAGATAGCTATATAGAGGGCTTATAAATTACTATAACTTAATAGACCTCCCTTATAAAGGCCTATAAGTTATTAATTAAATAGTTCTCTTATAGTATTAAAATTTAATATAATTATTTATATATTTAATTTTATAAGCTTTATTATAAGGACTTTAAAAGATCTTTAAAGGCCTTTAATAATATATTTAATAACTTTCTAATTAAACTATTACTAACTAAGGTTATTATAGCCTCTATAGATTAAGTTAATTAATATCTAAAAGCCTTAAAAGAGGTCTTTCTATAATAAGCTAAGTATTAATAAAATAATATTAAAGTTACTAAAGCTTTTAGAGGCCTCCTAAAGCTCTTAAATCTATAGTTTTTTATAATAGACCTTTTAAAGGAATAATATAATAAAAGCTCTTTAATAACTAAAGCTATTAATTATAAAGTAAAATATATTAAAAAGATTATTAAAAGGAAATCTCTAATAGCTAAAAAGACCTTTAAAGGTATAACTTAATAAAAGGGGTTTAAGCTTAAAGCTCTTAAAAAAAAGCTAATTAAACCTATTAACTTTACCCTTTACTATAGCTTAAAAGACCTTTAAAGTCTACTAAAAGATAATAATAAAGATAGCTTTTAACTAGCTTTTTAAACTTATTAACTTATTAAACTTACTATAATTATAATAACTTCTATTATTATTAATATTAATAATTAAAGGTATAATTTACTAAATACCCTTCTATATAATACTAGCTTTATAATATATTTAGTAAATAATAAAGTTTATTATAAAGACTATAAAGTACTATAGTACTTTAAGATGGGCTATATCTTAATAATTATTAATAAGGCTTACTTTATAAATATTAGAATTATTATATTTTAAGTTTTAATCTCTTAAAACCTTTTAATTTATAGAGATTTAGAGCTAAAAGAAGTTCTTTTTCTATTTACTTTAGAGATTAATATAGTTAATAGAATAAAGTATTATAGTTTAAGAGGTACTCTTTTAAGATAATAACTATTTATAGGTAATAGAACTTACTATAGCCTTTTAAACTTTAAAAAATATAACTTCTATCTATAGCTAAAAGGGTAAAAGACCTTTAAGTTTATAATACCTAAGGAGCTTATTATTTATACTAATTATAGCTACTTAATAAAGGTTTAAATCCCTTTTAAAGCCTTTAATTAAGCTATTAATTTTAAAAGGTTAAGAACTCTAATATAAGGTAAACTAGCTATAGGGTAAGCTAGGTCTAAGGTAAGTTTAGCCTATAGGGTAAGCTAAGGAATACTAAAGAGATTAATTTAAAAGGTATAATAGAAGAAGTAAGCTCTAAGTAAGAAAGAAAGACTTTATTAACTATAGGGTAGCTAAGAAGATAGACTATAAAGTAAATAAAAGAGTAAATTATTAGCTTAAAGAATCTCTATCTAATAAGGAGGAAGCTTTATATTTATAAGTATTTTAAGGCTTTAAAAGTACTAAAGATAATATATTACCTTCTATAATATAGG